ATGTACTATGCAATATCTTTTTGCTTTGAGATCTTTATGGCTAGGCATTATATCTGTCTCTTCCTACATCTCTATGACTTAGGAAAACAGCAAAATATTTATTATTCACTGGCCAACTCCCACTTTTTCAGAACATGGACTCATCAAAAGTCCATTTCATGGTGTCCTTCACAAACAAGTCAAGTATGAAAACAGAAAATTACCAATGAAATTCTGTTGTCAGTCAAAAGTCAGTCCTGAAATTCAGAGGTGAGTATAAATACAGACAGATCCTACGTCTAATTGCTCCTTTCTAGAGGCAGGGAGGTAAATTCAGAGCCAAGCTAGCATGGAGGTACCGTAGAATTGTAACTTCAAAGCTGGAAGGAACTTCAGAGGTCATAGGGTCCAAACCCCTCCTTTTATAATTAAGGAAACTGAGACCCACAGAGTTTAATTGATTTGCCTAAGATCAAGAATTCTTGTAACAAGTCCAGAGCTCTATCCATTATACCACACTGTCTCTAGGACCTTATTCTAAGGCATGATATGGAGGTGGGGGGTGTGTGGGGTTTACACTTCCTCCCCTGGAGGGGCTGTCTCTGCATCTTGGCTCACAGCCCAATGCCTGCCATTGGGAGTCCTGCTTCTAGTTCCTGGCATTGTGGTGCATTTCTTATAGAGTCATCTTGCCTCTCCAGCCCCAGAGGGGTAACGGTTAGATTGATGATCTCCTCTCCCTCGGTAATTGCATCAACAATTTGACTGTCCCTGTTGCTTGTCCCTTTACTCCTACTTCTGCTCCCACCCTCCAATCCCCCCCCCATCCTATCTCCAATCTAGAGTTCCTGTAGCTGGGTTTGTTTCTCTAAAGTATTTGTCTTATTTCTCCATTACAGAACTTTTCTGATGCCTTTGTCATGACATCAGAATATGTATAACATAACATGCCGTCGTGTTATACAGAACCTCAGAGTTCAAAGGGATCTCAGAATTTGTCTAGTCCAAACCAAAGAGGGACAAAAACTCCTGTTCAAAAAAAAAAAAAAAACCCAGGAAGTTCTCATCCAGCCCTTGTCTGAAGACCTCTTTAGTGACGAGGAACTTCTTTCTTCCAAAGACACCCATCCTACTCAAGGATAGTAAACTCTTTGTTAGGAGTATTTCCTTAGCTCAAGCTTAAATCTGCCTTTTTGCAACTTCTATCCTATTTCAGCTATTGCTCAAAGTTATGCCCTTTGAGGCCAAGAAGACCAAGTTCAATCCCCCTTCCCCATGAGTGACTTTTGAATGTTTGGAGACAGATCGTGATTCTGGCTTTGCCATTTGCTATATGCGTAACTGTACGCAAGTCACTTCATCTCCGATTCTCAGTTTCCATAGCTAGAAAACAAGATGAACTAGTATAAGAAGAAAGAATACTAGATTTGGAGTTCAAAATCCAGATCAGTCACTTATTTGTTGCAGGACTGTGGTCAGATCACTTTATCTCAGAGCCCCAGTTCTGTAAACTGGAAGATGAGGAAACAGTGTTTGCCATCAGCCTCACAGGGTGGCTGGGAGGATCATGAAAGGTATGTGAGAGTTTAAAATTTAATTTAAAATTTACAGTTTCAACCTGAAAAATGCTTTGTGAATTTGACTGTTCTTATCATTGTTATTATCATTATTGAATACTCTAACCTCCAGGCCCCAGATAGCTCAACAAAGTAAGGTCTAATTTGTGTGAACTTGATCCATCCAGCATTGGGGATCATTCAGACAGCTTAGCCTGAAATTCAGTCTTGCTTATCAAACCGTTTCTTAGGAGAGTCAATTTAATAGTGTAAACCAGGATATAGGGGCATTGCTTAAAATACTTTAAAAAAAAAGGCCTGTTTTCTATCACTTCAGAACTTCTTATATATAAACAATAAATCTCCTAACTCCAGATAATTTTCTCTATTAATTACACGAAGTCTCCTATAGATGCCAACTAGGCAATTCTTTTGTTGGTATAGCTTGAATAATTATACCAACTTAAAGTTATAATGTTAATTTTAAAATATGGTACTCCCCATGTCCCCCAATTAATTGCTTGAAATCATAGGATCACTGCATCCTAGACTTTAAAAACTGGAATGTGCCTTCAAGATCATCTAGTTTAAAGTCCTCATTTTACAGACGAGGAAACTGAGGCCCAGAAAGGTTCCGTGATTTACCCAAAAGTCACACTAGGCAGCAAGTAACAGGGGAATTCATTAAGGACTTATGGTATAGGCAACAACTATTTCGCAATGCTTTGAACTTTTCACCATTCTTATAATTCAACGCTGTCTAATTAACACCTTTGCTTCACTTTTCAACATGGGCAATGACCCAGAGAGGCAGCAGGAGGGGGTGACTGTACCAGCTGGTGTTAAAGAAAAAAGCCCTGAAGCTGAGGATGCATTCAATCAGTTTAGGAACATCAGCCACCATCACCCACAAAGGAGCGTGGCTAGTCCTCTCTCCAGCTTCTGCAGGCCCCTCAGGCTACACTTTTGTAACTTCTTTTCCTTTTCCACGCTGCCCTCAGTGCTGGAGTGGGGGGGGTGGCGGCGCTGGTGGGGGTGGGGCAGGATTAGACAAGAACATGAACAAAGGAAACAAATTCAAGAGGTTGATCTTGGAAATTTTTAGTGATGCCTTCAAATGCTTAGATGCTACAATTTGTTTTCTTTGTTTTGTTTTTAACAAGCAAGACCAATCCAATGCTCTTATCTCTGCTTGTTAGAGGGGAATCCAGAAAGAGAAAAACGGGGTATCACTTCAAACTTCCTTTAAAAAAAAGAAAGCCTGACTGCCTAAATCATCCCCACCCCAAAGTCCTTCTGTATTCTCAAGTACCAAGGAAAATTACTGTTAATTAAGTGTTTCATGGAATCATATTGTAACTTAAACCTGCATTGTCTTGGCAATTCTGCCTGCCTGGGATTCATGCAATGCCACGACGTCAGAACAATCAAAATTGTAGTTGACCCAGAGCGGAATAGAAAGACATCTTGAAAGGTGTGGGTGAGGAGAGAAGGGCTTTATAAATGGATGCAAAATATCAGAAAAAGTGTAAATTACATCATACATTACATCATGACTGGAGTCATGTGAGAGATAACAGATGGACTGCCCATGTGCCACACTGGCATCCACAAAATTTTAAAAATCAAAATGAAATAAAGTAGGGCCTCCAGCTCACTGAGTAGGTCGCCTCTGGACGATTTACAGAAAGACCAGCACATTAATTATACAGGATGAGAAGACCATCCTAGGATCATAGGTCGAGAGCTTTAAGGGACCTCAACAGCATATTATTCAAACCCTTCCCTTTTTTTTTCCAAACAGAGGAGAGACCTAAGGCTGAGGGAAGAAAGACAATTTATCCAACCTCACGCAGACAAGCTCAAAGAGGAAGATGTTATCCCAGGTCCTCTGACTGCAGAATCAGTTCTTGTCCTCCTTTGACCATGCCGTGTAAAGGGGTTTCAGTTCGCACAGGTGGAGGGAATACCCACACTGGTCTTCAGACCAGACCACTGATTCCTCCCAGCTGAGAGCATCAGAGCAGCTGTCAGTGAAGACCTCAAGCTCATGTGCCTGCTGTGAAAGAGATGTGATTGCTGATACCCCTGAATGAAATATTTAAAACTGATCATGTAAGTAACAAATGAAAAGTTTCCATGAAAATTAGAATTCTATTTCCTTTGTTCATATTAAGTCAGGCCAAAGGTCAGAAGTAATGTCTATTAATCAATCCATGTCCCCAGGTTAATTAAAAACACTTAAGAAGAAAAAAAAAAACCTCCTCACTTTAAACCTCCTATAAATGCCTTGTCGAAATCTGTTCAAATGAATCTCAGCAACACAAGTAAGAGATGAAGTTACTAGATACTATTTGGGCATAGAACTAGAGCTAGAACCCTAGAGAGGGTCATCTAATCCCAGCCCCTTTATTTTAAGGATGAGGAAACCAAGGCCCCAGCAAGTTCACTTCTCAAAGTTCTTCCAGTGACCAAAGAATAACCTCTAAACATATTTATGAAGTTTCAAAACAAGAAAGCTCGTGATAAAAATGATCTCCTCTTTCCAGGAAATGCTGCTCTCCTGGTTCTTCTCATGTTGTCCGACTGCTCTTTCTTGGTTTCTTTTGCTGGTTCATCTCTTTCCTATGCTCTAAGCATAGGTGTCCTAGACCTTCTCTTCCACCTCTACGCTTTCTCACTTGCTTGTCTCATCTACTTCTATGGATTCAAATGATCACCTCCATGAAGGTGAGCCCCTAATCTTCATGCCCAGATCTGATCTTTCCCCCCCTTAATTCATTTCACATCTCTGTCTGAACATCCCACAAGCACCTCAAACTCAGCATGCTCAAAACTCATCCTCCTTTCTCCAAATTTCACTTTTCCTATTTTTCCCACCACAATCCTCCTAGTCACCAAAGATCAAAACCTCATCCTTGTCTCTGCCCTCTCTCTCATCCCCTAAATCCAATAGATGTGGAAGGTCTATCAATTTCTACATCTCTTGCATCCATTCCCTTCTCTCCACATTCTCTACAAGCCTACTTTAGACCCCTATCATCTTTCCCCACCCTTGGATTACTGTAATAGCCTCCAAACTTCAGAAGGAAGGTTTTATTAAGCACCTACTATATGTCAAGCTCAGTGCTAGGCACTTTACAAATATTATCTCATTTGATCCTCAAACAACTCTGACAAGTAGGTGCTATTATTATCAGCATTTTACAGTAGAGGCAACTGAGGCAGAGTTTAAATGATTTGCCCAGGGTTACACACCTACTAAGTGTCTGAAGCGGGATTTGAACTCACGTCTTCCTGATTCCAGGCTCAGCACTCTATCCACTGTGCCACCTAGTTGCTTTCAGCTAGGTGTCTCCATTCCTAGCTACATGGCTGTTCTACTGCTGAGAAAGGACCTCAAAAATATTTTCCTTATCCCGTCACTCTCGGGAATAAGTATTTAAAGGCTGTGATGGGACTCACCTGAACATGTCATTCGGAACAACTGCTTTGCTTTTGTGTACATAGCAGACTTGCTGACCTGCAATATCCATCTGGTTGAAGCTTGTGATAGGGACTCCGGGATAGCTGATGTATTCCAACTGGCCATACTGAGGTGGGGACGTGATTACAAAAAAAAGCTCTTCTGGCTTATCTGTTCCATCAGCAGCTAAGAGGGTAGAGGTAGTCAAGAAGGCTCTGTCCCCTTTAGACACTACCAGTGGTTTGGACAAGACCGCAATATCACCTGCAATGGAGAAGCCTGGTTAAGAACTCTATTTTAAAACTCAAACATAGGGTCCATGTGTTTTTAAAGGATCTTAGGCATTAAATGATTTTTTTCTTACACAGAATCAAATAATTGTGCGGTTAGAACATCAAGTCAAACAAGTATTCTGTGGAACTATAAAGTGGATTGGCAAGGTCTCAGCAAGGGTTCTAGGAGGGATGAGGATGAACAGCAAAAGATTGGAGAATTGCAAAAACACTCATAAAGAGACTATACACTGAGCAAAAGTTCTCAAAACATATCTCTGCCATGAGGACTTGTCTGAGTGAAAGTGTATAGTTTTTTTCTTCCTTTCAACATTACAAGAATGGAGCCCTAGATCAGGCCAGCTGTTCTCCAAGGCTTACATATCCTTTATTTACATTGTGCAGATCAAAACTGGTCACAGTAGTCTAGGATATGGCCAGTGCTGAGTATAATGGGAGAACTGCTTTATGGCTACTCTTGGTATTGTACTTTCCTTTTTTTATCTGGAGAGATGCTTCTAAATCCTATTCCAGCGCCACATCTGTACCTTTGGAAGGACATAAAGTACTCAAATCAAGTCATTCTTGTTCTTATGTTTGCATAGCTTATTTATACTCAATAAGTGTACCCCACTACATTTGCCTTTATTAAATACTATACTGTCAATGTCCTCTTTCATCCCCTACTCTCAGTGGGCAACTTTGCCTTCTATTCTACTGGGAATGTTAAGTCTATCACAACAAGAATTCTATCAGTTCTCCTCTCTACACCGTGCTAAACTTTTCAATAACCACATACACCATCTATCCCTTCCCTCTAGTTTCAAAAGAAATATAGACCTTGTTGCCAAGGCTAAAGACTTCATCTGAACATTCATTCTCCTTCCTTGGCTTTGGTATCATTGTACTTTCTTGTTCACTCTTTCCTTGTTATTGTATCTTATCTCACAGATTCAATTATTATGAGGATGGAGATCCCACATCTCTATCTCCCCACCAACCTCCTCCCAGATTTCTAGTCCTCTAACTGCCTTCTGGAGATTGTTTCCTAGATGTCTAGCCAGCACTTTAAACTGAAATGCCCCAAACTGAACCCCCTTTCTTCTTCCCCCAATAGTCTCCTTTCCACTCCATTCTTCTATTTCTGTTGATGGTACCATTATTCTCCCAGTCACCCAAGCTCATAACTTTGGTGTTATCTTTGATTATTTCCTCTTCCTTTCCACCTCTCAGTCTCTACATACAACCAGCTGACAAATTCTTTTGATCCTGCCTTCACAATATCTCAAATTTATTTTCTCTTCTTTTCACTTTGACATCAACCATCCTAATTCAGGTGTTCATTTTTGCCTCTAAATCTCTAGACTACTGCAAACAGCCTTTTATTCAGTCTTCCTCTCCTTATATTTCACACTGCTGTCCAAATAATCATCTGAATGCCTTCCTCTGATCACGTCACTAGTCTCCTGAAAATCTTTTAGCAGTCCCATATTGTTTATGAAATAAAGCACAAATTCCTGATCTTGGCATCCAACGTCCATTATAATCTGACTCCAGGCTATCAATTCAGCTTATTTCATACTATTCACATATTCTACATTAGAGACAAACTGAACTACTCTCCAATATCTGGTCTTATGCTGCCCTCTCTCAACTCTGTGCTTTTGCTCATTCTATCCCCTAAGCCTGAAACAGTGCAGCAAACAGCTGATTAAGAAGATGGTGGCTGAGAATGAGATTTAGATTTCTAGACCATGGCTTAAAATATAGGATTGAGGGGCTCTTGGTTGGAAAGGAGTGGATAAAATAAGGTCTGCAAAAATGTACTTATCAAGAGTCTTGAAAATCTAATCAAAAAAGATTATTTTAAGCTAAAAAGGATGGGAATAAAAGAAGGCATAGATACAGATACATATATACAGACACCATATATACATATATATATATATATATATATATCTGTGTGTGTGTGTATATATGCAATAATCTAGATACCATAGATAAAAAAGGATAAACATCAGTACAAACACCAATAAATTCATAGGAGACCAAACCTGAGAAAGGAGCCAGTAGTGAAACTCTTGGCCCCAGGAACTTATGCACAAAGTACTGGTAAATAAAATATTAATATAATATTCAAAGTATACATTAATAATAGACACTAATATAGTGATTTTATGTTTGTAAAGCTCTTTTTATACATTTAATCATTTGTTTCTCAAAATAACAATGTAAGGTAAGAGCTATTACTATTTCTCATTTTAAAAATGAAAGAAGTAAGACTCAAAGGTTTTAAATGACTAGCTCAGAGTCATACAGCCAGTGAGTGAATGAAGTGGAATATGAACCTAAGTCTTCCTGATTTCAAAGCCAGGATTCTATGCACTAGAAGATACAGACCAATAAACAAGGTAAACTAGAGATTCTAACACAAAAAGGCAAATTTAACCTCACAAGTATCACTGAGACTTGGTAGGATGGGGCTTATGTCTGTAATAAGACTCTGGAAGGTTATACTTGATTCAAAAGGAACTGGTTAAGTACAAATCATTCAGAGCATATTAAGAAGTTATACTTCTGTGGGAAAGTCCAGGAAGCAGTCATGGGAAGCATGATGGAAAGCATTTGGATGCATATCAATGGAGGCAAAACAGGGACATTATGGTCATTGGATTATACTAAAAACCATTTGGACAGAATAACTAAATGCCAGAATTAGGATCCAAAAAGATTTCAACAGGCTAGAATGTTAGGCAAAAGAGAATAAGATGAAATTTAATAGAATCTTACAGTTAGGTTTGAAAAAGCAACAAGATGGGCAAGGATAGCCATTTAATAGTTCATCTGAAAAAGATCTGAAGGCTTTAATGGACTAAATGTTCAGTAGATCTTAACAGTATCACACAGTAGACAAAAAAAAAGTAAAGAGAATTCTGCTACCACACCTGGAATGTTTTTAGTTCTAGATGCCTCATTTCATGAAGGATATTGATTATCTGGAGAACATCCCAAAGAGGGTAGCCAAAATGTGAAGGACCACAAGATCATATACAGTGAACCCTGTCTTTTCACCTTTTGTAAAACTACAATGAAAATACTATTCTTCAGTCATATGATTCATTCATGCATGCATTCAATAAACATTTATTAAGTGTCTGCTGTGTACATAGCACTGTGGGAACCACAAAGTTCAGGCAAGATACAAGCTCTATTCTCATGGAGCTTACCGTCTAGTAGGGGGATAAAGCATAGATCACAGGTTAACTAATGACCTACATAAAATGGAAAATTCCTGTGCAAGTTGATTTGCAGGAAAACATTTTGCTTCTGTGTTGATTCAGTATCCTTTCCCCCCAAAATGAAAGCCATTCAACTCAACCCATTTTCCTTTGTCTTTTAGGTTCCCAGAAATTGAAATCAAATTTAATGCTAAACTGTGGTCATCTGCTCCTCTTATATTTCTAGTAAAACCAATTCTTATTTTGACTCCTACGGGAATCTCTAAAGAGAGTCTCTCTTTGACTTTATAATATATTGCCCATTTGGTTTAACTTGTATCTGCCTCATTCTTTTTGAAAATCGTTGGGATAAAAAATTCAAATAAATCATGGAGTAACTGAATTTATTAAAGTTCATAGTGACAGGATTCAAAGCCAGATCATAGGATTTAGAGCCAAAATGGAACTTAGGGATTTCTCTAATCCAATTCACTCACATTACAGTGAGTAAACTGAGGTCCAAAGAGCACTTAGTTTCTTGAAAAATCCAGGAAAAAAGGTTAGAATTATAAATTATATGAATTATTAGTTTTATTATAGCTAGAGGGTTACATTATTCAAAATGGAGTACAAAATGCTCTTATCTAACTACACACTTCAAATATAATGAGTATAAATCAGAACTGTTAAGGATTCCATTATTCAGGTACCCCATTTATAGGAATCATTTCTGAAATTATCACATTGGCTAGCCTGACTGATATCAACAAATTTCATAATATTTTTAAAAATAAGTTTTAGTATATTTTCCCCATTGTCTGATTTATTTTCTTGATCACCATTAGCTAATGGACTTAACGGTAATGAGCCATTTATCTGGCACTGCCAGGGAGTAAGCTGTTCTAACCAAATGCATTTTCCAGATAATGGAATCTTATTCCATCAAAATTTTAAGCTATTTTAATAAAAAAAATTCTAAAATAGATCACAAACATGCCTGCCTTTGGAAACTGAATATGGCAGATGCTTTTTTTTTTTGATGACTAAGCTCATCATTGCGTCACCAAGTATTACAGATGGTAGGATATCTCAGGATCTGCTGAGATATGTTGGGACTGTGTGATCCCAAGATTCCTGTCTATTATTGAACTCTTGTGGCTGCTTTTCTGTTTTCTTCATGATTAAGCTCTCAGTTGCCACTCCCTGTTTCTAGCAGCCTCTTTTCTTTCTCTTAGTTCGCAGCTTATAATCTATAATGGATTGTACAACAGATACTAAGCATCCAAAGACAAAAATGAAACAGTCCCTGACCTCAAGAAGCTTATTTGAATTGTTTACAAAATATGAATAAAGCTGATAAGCTCCTTTTTGAGTTTAGTGAACGTGCTTCTTTGAATTGTAAACATTATGTGATATCCTTTTTGTTTGTGCAAGCCTGTCTGCTCCCTTCCCTGGTCTTAGTTTGCATTCTGGAAAGTTGGGGTTGTCAGTTATGTCAATAAATAATTATTTATTAAGTTACTACTAAGTGCCAAGTGCTGAAGATACAAATATTTTTTAAAAAAGAAAAAAAATCCCTATTCCCAAGGAGTTACAATCCATTGCATGGGTGGAGGGTAGGAAAGGGAAGGGAAGACAGTATATTCAAAATACGTAATACAGAATGAAATTACAAACAGAATAAAAGTATAGAAAGTAAACAGAAAAGAAACATGAGGTAGTTAAATGAAAGGTAGTTAGAGAAGAAGAACATCAGTAGCTGGGGCCTCAGGAAGTCTCTATGCATTGAAGGTGGTATTTGAGTTGCTTCCTGAAGAAAGTGACAAATTCTATGACCTGGAGGTGGGGAAGGAAGACATATGGAATGATGAGCACAAGGCATGTAGATGAGAGGTGGAATGCCATGTGTGTGGAGCAGACTGTGGGGCAGGAAGTAATGCATCCTGAAGCTAGAAAGATAGTAGTGTGCCAAGGTGAGACACTGTAAAAGCCAAAAAAGAAGTTATAGGAAGTATGGATCAACTACAGTTTAATGAGTACAGGAGTGACATGGTTCAGTTTTATGTTTAAGGAAAATCATTTTGGCGGCTATGTGAAGGATAGATTAGATTGAGGAAAGATCCTAGGCATGATCAATTAAGAGGGTATTACAAAACACTGGATGAGAAATAATGAAATCCTGAATTAGGTGATGGCCATGTGAATAGAGAAGGAGACCAGATGTGAGAGATGTTGGAAAAGGAAGAAATGGCAAGATTTGGCAAATGATTGGATATGTGGGGTGAGGAAAAATGAGGAGGTGAAGGTAATTCCATTGTTATGAACTTGGAAGACTGGGAGAATGGTGGTATATTTTATAAAAATAGTGAAGTTTAGGAGAGGAGTGAATTTGACAAGTTCTATTTTGTATATAATGAGTGAGACATGTCTTAGGACATCCATTTTGAAATGTCCAAAATACAATTGATGATGCAATACTATAGCTCGGGAGAAAAACTAGGACTGGATATATAGTTCTACAGTCACTTGATACAGATGATAAGAAGGACCAGGATGGAGCCTTGCCATACAATCACAGTTAGAGGGTGTGATATTGATCATAAGCCAGCTAAGAAAATTGAAAGTGAGTGGCTCTACAGGCAGTAAGAGAGTCATGAGATAGTAGTATCATAAAAACTCAGAGACAAAAGATAACCAGGATAGAGGAGACAACAGTGTTGTGTGTACCTGAGAGGCCAATAACCTCCAGATATATGGCAAGGGGAGGGTAAAAACTGAACTGGACTTTTGGACAGTTGGATTTGAGTCCCAGCTTTACCACTGTGTAACCTTATAAATATACTTCTCCTCTTTCAGCCTTAGTTTCCCTTATTGTAAAATGAGGACTAGATGATTGATAAGGTCATTTTCAGCTCTGAAATTCAATGTACTTAGCACAGTGCCTGGCACATAGAAGGTACTTAATAAGTATTTACTGATTGATTGAATGCTCTTTTATGGCTAAGGTATTAATTGTACAGGTTTTATTTCTCTCTTTTTTTTCTTTCTGAAGAATAACACACACGTTCATCATTTGGGCTAACCCTAGGCAAAACACAGGGAATGCAAACAAAGGGGACCTAATAACCAAAACATGGAGATAGGAGAGGACAGGATGATAATGGAAAATGGAAAATAGTTTGGCAAGAAAATAAGAACATGTGAAGAGTAGTCTGAAGGAAGGCACGAAAGATAGGTTGGAATTAGGTTGTTGAGGACCTTGAATCTCAGATAAGGAATTTATTATTTATTCTTTAGGTATGGGGAAGTCACTCAAGGGTTTTCAATAGAGGAGTAACAGAAGTGTTGTATTAGGAAAGCTGCTTGATAATGGTATGCAGGACTGATTGAAGAGGGGAAGAAATTGAAAGCAGGAAGACCAATTAAGAAGCTAACATAATAATCTAAATGAGGAGGGATTCGGGCCCAAGCTAGTATAGTTGAAGTCAAAGTAGAGAAGAGGGGATATATGTTGAAAGGTGTTACAAAGATAATTACTTGAATATGGGAAGTGAGTGAGGAAGAAGAAAGAGCCAAGTCTCCACAGTTATGAGTCTGAATGACCGGGATGATGAAAGTGGTGGCATGAGCAGAAATAGAGAAGTTAGGGAAAGGGAGTTGAGGGGGGAGATAATTTCAATTTGAGACATAATAAGTTTGAGGTGTTTGGTGGTGCATATATGTGGAGACACCTAGAAAGCAGCTGAAAATATGGGACTGGAGCTCTGGGTAGAGTTAGATGTGAAGAAATAGACTTGGGAGCCATTTGTAAATGGTGATATTTGAAAGGAAGGGAGTGGATTGACTGAGCAAGAGGACATGTAGAGAGAGAAGGACTAAAATACAAACTAGAGGAATATCCACATTATAGGGACAAAAGGAAGATAAGGATCAGGCTAGAGTGACTACCAATCATGCTATTTCCCAGTAATGAAAAGTTGATTATTTATTTTTACCCTTTTCAATGTCCTTGATGCTGATGTGACAGTCCAGTGTGGGTGACCTATTGTCTCCATCCCAGAGGTGAAATGTGAAGCTATCTTGGTTCTGGGAACCCACGGCACCGGTATGGATGTATCTTACAAAATTCAGATCCACTTCCTCCTGAGTGCATTTCATGCCGGGTTGAAGAGATACCCAATTCCTTCCTATCTGAAAGGCATAGAAATCAGATAGCTGTTCCAGAATGGCGGAGTGTTTTTCTTTCAGTTGTCTGTTGATTTTTCCCTTACTCAAAAGACATTTTCAACTTAAATAGGAGAATCTCAAAGACTACTTCACTTTCTCATCAAACCTAGCCCCCTCCCACCTTTCCAGTCTTCTTATCCTTTCCTCCCCACTATGTACTCTTTGATCCAGTTACAGACAGTGGCCTCCTTGGTGATACTCAAACAAGACATTCATTTTCTTGACTCCAGGCATTTTCTCTGGCTGTCTCCCATGCCTGGAATGTTTTCCCTCCTCATCCTGGCCTACCAGCTTCTCCGACTTCCTTTAAGTCTCAAATAAAATCCCATCTTCCTCATGAAGCCTTTCCCAACCCCTCTTAATTCTAGTGCCTTCCCTCTCTAAATTATTTCCTATCTATCCTGTATGTAACTTCTCTGCATATACTTGTTTGCATGTTGTCTCCACCATTAGGTTGTGATTTCCCTGAGGGCAACAATTATCTTTTACTTCTTTTTGTATCCACAGCACTTAACTCAGTGCCTGGCACACATTAATAAATGTTGATTAATTGATTGATTTCAGTACTTATAAAGAAACTTCTCAAAATTAACTTTAGATTGGAGTGGAGGGAAACAGCCATCACAATAAAACTAGTTTGAAGAACACTGAATCAGCCCCAGAAAAGATTTGTAACCAGGTTATTTCCAAATTTTATATCTGTGAATTTGAATAATAATATTAGTGTTTTCAAATTGGTTTAAAACAAGTAATCATAATTAGTGAAGCAACATGGCACAGTAAATAGAGGATAGATCTTAGAGAAAGAAAAATCTGGAATCAAGTCCCACCCTGACAAATACAGCTGTGTGACCACTGGGCAAAGCACTTCTTGTACCCAGGGAACTAAGGCTGTTAAGTTGTATGTGACTTGTCAATCTGTACTAGTGGCTAGAATTTTCACACCAGGCATGCCCTATACTGATGAACTCACAGCTCTACATAACTTCCAAAACATAACCAATTAATTATGCTAATTAATGAGTTGGGCAATTTAACTTTTAATTGCTGTTGTATATTGATACTTTCAGGAGGCAATTTCATTTGTGCCTTTACTAATGCAGAGAGTAACTCTGTAATTCTGTAAGCACCTTAAATAAACTGTTTTTATGAGTTGCTTCTGGCCAAAAAAAAAAAATTCAACATCTGGTGGCCAAGTTTCTGATGATGAGCCTCTGAGAATTTAGATAGGCTGGTGTTTAGATGACAAAACTGTTTCCAGGCTTGTGCTTTCCAGTTTGCTAGAAACTGATGGAATTTGTATTCTGTTGGCACAACCTTTGAAAACACAGGATAGCCCTACCCCTTAGCCAAGACTGGACATCAGAGGTGGAACTGGCAATATATGTGCATTTCTGTGTATGTCTAGAAATAACTACACACATATACAGACACACATATTCACATACATAGCAGCATATATGAGAGGTAGTGTGGCTTGGTGAACAGAAACCACTCTAAGAGACAAGACCCTAAGTCTTGCCTCCAACACATATTGACTGAGTGATCTTGAGTAAGGCACTGAAGCATTGAGTGCTCCAATCTGCACAGTTGAGTGCAGACCAGACATAGGTCAGTTACTATCTGTAGTAGAAGAGAGAATTTAATCATGAAACACTGATGAAATTGCAAATACAAATCATGTGTGTAATACATATATACATATATATATATATTTCTTAAGTTTGGATCGTTCTACATTATTATTTTTTATTAGATCTATTCAAAATATCCTGAATTTGATGACTGGCTTAATTATTTATAGCTAGAAGGAAAAAGAAAATTTCTGGATATCTCATCCCCCTCTTCCCACCCCCACCCCCCACATCTTTCCCAGAATTACTAGTACAGAAAACATTTGAGATCACCATGGCTCCAGACATTAATAATCATTAAATGATCTAATCTGTAAGTCTAACATTTAAATTCTTCCAGAATGTTCTAGCTTTCTGGGCAAACACCCACTCTGTGTAGCGTGAGTCACAGGTCTAGGAAATATGCAGAGATGCAAAGGAAATTAGGTTATTGTCTTGGAGAGTTGATATTCTGATGGAGTAGCAAAAACCTGACTATATATTTATTACAAAAAAAAAAATGGCATGCGCACAGAGATATTCTAAACTCTCATGAGGCAGCTAGGTGACACAGAGAATAGAGCACTGGGCCTTGAGTCAGAAAGACCCAAGTTCAAATCCACCCTCAGACACTTACTAGCTATGTGACCCAAGTCAATCACCCTTTATCTGCTTCAATTTACTCATCCATAAAATGGGGATAATAATAGCATCTACCTTCCGGGACTGTTGTGAGCATCAAATGAGATAATGATTGTAAAGTGCTTAGCACAGTTCCTGGAACATAGTAAATGCTATATAAATGTTAGCTATTATTTTTATTATTAGGGAAGATGGTAGATTTTTAAATCTCTGATTTTCAATGGTGGTAGGGCTGGATATCTTGGGCTCCGGCCGTAGGGAGCGGATGATCAGGGCTTGGACCCAAGACTTCTAAATACCACCAGATGTGGCAACTATTGCCCGTCACATACCTCCCACTCAGAGGACAGAGTGGTTTGGCCCCAACCCTAGCTCCTCTACCATCCGAAAAGTGCTGCATGCACTATTCTGAGCAGGGCCTATGAATAGTAGAGAAAATTTTGGCTCTTTTGATAAATTATTGTGTTTGGAAAAAATATTGAATTAATACTGAATTAAATTTGTTCTACTTGGTTTAAATATCTGAAACAATGACTGATCTCCTCTTGCATATTCCCATTTCCCTTGATGCGGAATTCCATAGGCCAGCAGTTCCTGGCAAAGAAGAGTTTTTCCTCTAATTTATTGCCATTCTTCATGCTCTATCCCCATCCACCTCATTCTATTCCTTTTAGATTTACACTTCTTTCTTGGTATTTATGTCCATGATAAACTTACAGACTAGCATGTCTTATCCATTCATTGGATCAGTCTGGTTGCTTTCCTCACAGGATGATCTCTCTTCCAAATGTATTTCCCTTCCCCTCCAAGATACTTATTTCCCTTTAGACTTTTGGATTTGCCACCTGAAAAAAAATGTTTTGGGTGTGTGTGTGTGTGTGTGTGTGTCTGTATCTGTGTGTGTGTGTGTGTGTCTGTGTCTGTTTTTTGCAAATCCTATGTTGAATTTCCTCTTAGAAAGCAAGCAAGTACAGTGGAATTTTGCATAAAGTAATAACTAGCAATTACATAGTAATTTGAAGTCTGTAAAGTGCATTGAAATTATTATCTCATCTGGTCCTCACAATAACCCTGGCAAGTAGGCACTATTTTAACCTCATTTTATAGATGAGGAAAATGAGGCACAAAGGTTAAGCAATTTGCCTAGGGTCATGCAGCTAGTAAGCATCTGAGACTGGATTTGAACTCAAATCTTCCTAATTCTAGATGCATTATATCCACTGCACCACCTAGCTGCCTCTTATTTGATATTTGATCCTACCCTGGCCATGTAACATGTAGTTCCTCAGTGTCATGTGGGGACCTAGAAATAAGCAGAAAATAAGGGGTCAGAGTTAAGGTAAGGCAGTAGAGACATGGGGAGAAGAAAGTAAAGAACCAGAAGCATTATAGAGGGTCTGGCATATAATGTTTCAGAATGACTCGCACAAGAAACTTGGGAGGGTAGAGAGGTCTACCCAGATCCTTAGGAAAGAAGACTTGAGGATCTCAAAAGGAGCTAGGTGGGGAACATTTAGGTCATAGTAGGGACTTTGGCATCTCAAGATTTCCATAGAGTCAGAACCTCCATTTCCTAAGAAAACTAAATTTGTGAGTTTTTTTTTTTTACCAGATTTCTGCTTTGTTATCCTTGCAAACAAAATAAGAGCATTGTTGGACCTCATTTCAAATCAGTGTCTTATCTTTATTTTTATTCCATTTGGTGCCTACCACCCAATAATATCAATTAACTTCACTTAAAATAGAATCTCTCTATATTCCAGGAATGCATCTGTCACAATATAAAGGTTAAAAAAAAGCAAGCAAACATTTTTGGATTGCAAGTTGTTGGGACTTTTTGCTTCTACCATTCAACTAATCAGTATGATGGATTTTTGCCCTGAATGGACCAGTTATGAGAGTTGGTCAGTTGCTAGGTGTCATGCTGACAGACACAGTCTAGGCAGTGAGAAGTCCCGCCATTCCATTTTCTGAAATGAACCAATGGAAGTGTTATAAGCTCAAAAAGTAAATTGTTGGTAAAGCCTGAGAAAGAACCTGAGTCTTTTGACTCTCAGTCCTGTATCACCTGACTCACACAACCTCCCACTGTGTGATTCGTGTATGATTTTTCCCTAAAAGTTCTCCAAATATATAAAAGCAATTTAACAACAAAAAGAGGTCAATTCACTAATACATGTAGGCACCTCCTGGTATGGAAAAACTCCGTGACAAGTCATTCATCTACACCTTATAGTCTTAAATAGCCTGGAGCACTGAGAAGTTAATAACTTGTCCATAGTCACATAACTAATATATATCAGAGGTAAGACTTGAACGCAGTTCTTCCTGACTCTAAGGCTGGCATTCCATCCACTATAACATGCTATCTCTCATTATAACACATGACCTACTAAGTTTAAGGAAGACAAATGTTATTTGCTTTTTGTATTTTGGGTGGGATGGCTAGGCAATGGGGTTAAGTGACTTGCCCAAGGTCACATAGCTAGTAAGTGTCAAGTGTCTGAGACCAGATTTGAACTCAGGTCCTCCTGACTCCAGGGCAAGTGCTCTATCCACTATGCCACCTAACTGCCCCCTGTATTTTTTTAAGATAAAAAGGCCACTCACCTTGAGCTGAAGCTGCCCATTTTCTGGGAGTCTTTCAAATAAATAGTAAATTTTCTCTCTGGGTGTATCTTTATCTGTAGCTGATAGAACAGCACTAGAAATAATACGAGTTTCACCCATATTCATTTCTATTTCGGCCTTCCTGTGAGAAGAAACATACCCACATTTCTTTAAAGATAGAATATCTTTAGAATATAGCTCCCATAGTAGTTGCACTATCACCTTATCACAGATTATTCCACAAATGGAGGAATGATATTCAATGATATCTGAAGCTATAAAAATGTTGAGTTAGAAAAGAAGAATTTAAGGAATTATATTAATTATATGACCTCTAAGGGCCTTTCCAGATCCAAAATTCTTCTTTTATTTTTAATTTATAGAATAAAAAAAGCATTTCCATAACAACATAATAAAATGATGCTTGCACATGAAATTGCAAATCTACTATGCACAGCTTCCTTTCAAATACACGACAAAATTCTCTAAAATTCTATGATTATATATATATATATATATATGTAGATGGATAGATAGATAGATAGATATCTCAAGGTTTATGGATTGTATGGCTCTTAACACTATTATGGTGATTCCAAATAACTAAGCCAATGAGAACTTGTTAGATCCAGTCTCTACCTCACAAATTCTGTTCACCATTAGGATCCATTTAGAACAGAAGATAATATCTCCAGACAATTACATTCTTCATTTCATCCACAATGTTCAACCAGGGGAATTTGAATATAACAAAAACTAATGTGGCAGGATAGAGAATTCATCACCAAAGACTTCACATATTAAAGGACGTGCTCAAGAAATGGTATAGTCAGTTAGTAAATGAGGATAAATGCAGAAAAGTAGCAAGGTCCTATAAGAAGGACAATAGGAAAACAAAAGCCCTGTGGGAGGTGAGACTGGTCACAAATGCTAAATATAACAAAATGACTTTTGTACTATGCTAACACCAAAAAGATCAATCAAGGTACAGTACACCTGCTTGAGATGGATAAGAAGTTAATAGGTAGCAGTGAAAAGAAGGTGTTTCTCAACTACAATAATTCATCTGTTTTCTCTACTAAAAAGAATAACCTTTAGACTGGGAAAGGCAAACCAACAATGGTGAACAGGGAATTCAAACCCAAGATCCTTGAGGAGATGGTAAAAGATTACCAAGCTACCCTTGATGAGTCCAAATATTTGAAGAATCAGAGTGAATGGGACAGAAGCCAAGGGACTTCATCCAGAATAGGCCATACCAGACTAATTTCATTTCCTTTCTTCACAGACTAACTAGCCTGTTGGATCAACAAAATGCTGAAGACAAAATATACCCATATTTCATCAGATAATGCTATCTTTACTGATAAGATGGTGAGATGGTGGCTAAATCATATAGCACATCATCTAGATGGAGTCAGAACTAATCTAATAATCAGAAACAAAAAAGTAGTCATTAAAAGACTGATGTTAATTTGGAGGGTTGCAGAGAGGGGAATGTCCCCAAAGATCTTCCTTAGTCCTTTGGTATTTGACATTTTTATTAATGACGGGTATAAATGGTATACATTTTAAATATATAGACAAAACTGGGAGGGATAACAAAGATGTTTACATTGACCTGAGGCATTTCAGAGAGAGATTAGAGATAGAGGTACAGATGTTATGGGGAAGGATGAGCTTGTTAAGAAGGACAATAAAGACAGGGATGGGAGGGCTCAAAGAGAAACCTTGTGTATACCTTCAGTTAGGGGGAGAAAGAAAGGCAAGGATGAAGACCATGGAGAAACAGAGAGGTCGGAGGGGAAAACTGGCCATGAAAACCAAAGGAGAAGAAGTGGATAGTCAACAGCATCAAAGACTATGGAAAGTCTAAAGAAAACAAAAACTTAAGAAAAAAGTTATTGGATCTGAATTTCATTGGTAACTTTTGGGATAGTAGTTTGAGACTCTTACATATAGTAGATAAGGAAGAGGAAGCAGTGAACGTAGATGACTTATGAAAATGAGAGCTGAAAACCTTTAAGCACACTCCATTGATATATGTTGTTATTATTCAAACAAAACATAGGGTCAAGGAAAAGAATTTTTTTAAGATAAGGAAGACTTTTGTATCTCTATGTGTAAAAATGAAGGAGACAATGGGGTAGGGGAGAGAGAGAGACAGAAACAGAGAGACAGAGAAAGATAAAGAGACAAAGAGAAAGCTTGAAATGCAAGTAAGAGAAAGAATAATCAAGCAAAAGCCTGGAAGAGATGAGAGGAGATAAAATAAGATCAAGGACATGGGTGAGGGCATGAGGATACAGACAGAGGGATGCTTTTTCCATTGAGGAAGAAAGGAAGGGAGAGGATGAGAGAAGACAAAGAGAAATTATGAGGTAGAGAGACAACATGTTGCTGTGTAATTCTGAAGGATTTTTGAAAAGTGATGAGATAATAAGAATGGAAGCATCTTCTCAAACCTCAAACTCCTTTGTATTTTCACACAGATTGGAGGACCACAGAAACTCATTTTCTTATCTTTTCTTAGTGATTGTCAAGGTTCCTGCTGGTAATGCCACCTCAATGCAAGAGGAAGAGGTTTGTCAGGACATGGAAAGGACATTTTTTTGGCAAGCACTCTTTTCATTCCTCTCTTCTTCCCAAGTGGTCAGACCAAAGGCTGTAGTCAATGCCTGTGTGTAGATGGGCCAGCAGAGGGTGCACTGAGACCAGAATTGCTTTGCCAGGGGAGACCCCCCCCCCCCCCCGCCATGGTTTCAATGACTGGATGTGACCTAAATTCAGAGATGACTTGTTTCATTTTTTTTAAGCCAGCATGCATTCTATAGGAATAAGCTTAAGAACTGAAGCACTTTTCATGGTTAGACTTATTCTCATTGATCTAAACCAAGATATTTTTGTTCAACACATCACATCCATCTCAAACCATTTTGATTGGCACAGCCAGTCTTGCTAACTTGCTATGGGAACCAGAAGTCTTCCACAATGACCATGAAATAAAAGACACAAAATGAAACATATTTTTTGCAATTTACTCATGTAGTAGGTACATAATAAATGTTTGTTGAATGAATGGTCATCAATTTGCACTGAATATTACAAAGGTAACTTGTATCATATAAGATGATATGGAAAGGTAATGATTTCTTTCATATAAAGAGCCTAAGGCTTACTTTGTCAGCACTGGTTTCTCATCATTGACTGGCAGGATCTTTATTGAAATAGTTCTCAGGATTTTATGTTTCCCATCTGACAACTGGATTGTAAAGTCATCAGCAAGGCTCTCAGAGTCATCATGTATGTACATCAATTTCATTCCTGGAAAAGAGAAAAATGAGAAAAGTAAATCTGCCTCCGTTTAAACCACCACATCTCTTTGCCTCAACCACCCCAATCCAAGTTGCCAGTAGCTAAGTCTCCTCTGGAGAACAGGCCTACACATCAGCAGCAGCTCATTAATCCATCAGCACCAACAGTGATTCCAAGATACACTCCTGATGTCTGTCCATTCAAAGAACTCAAGATAATTCACTTTCCACAGGTCCAGCTTTGTTCAGTGGGATTTAAGTGAAACAAAACTTGTTTTGTCAATCAAAAGTATGGTTTTCTTGAGGGGGAGGACTGAGACTATCACCTTTCACTTTGTGAGTCTTAAAGTTGAAAAGGAAAACACCATATGAAACATATATTCTCTGATTCAGTATGGACTGTTACAGATTTCAATGAGATACTAGATTCCAGGACTTTGTAAGAACTGGAAAAAGAATTTTGTGAAGGAATGAAAGGATCAAAGAAGAGATGATCTTATGGAAAAAGCTGAGAAGAAAGTTAATTAACTTATCAATGAAAATATGGATAGTGGTTTTTCATCTGTGCTTTTTGAAAAAGAAACTGGGTGGGGGCAGCTAGGTGGCACAGGGGATAGAGCTCTGGCCTTGGAGTTAGGAGGACCTGAGTTCAAATCTGGCCTCAGACACAAAACACTTACTAGCTTGTGACCCTGGGCAAGTCACTTAACCCCATTGCCTATCCCCACCAAAAAATTAAAAAAGAATAAAAAGAAACTAGGGGAGGGAGGAACCATTGCCTCAAACCAAAAGAAGTATGCTGGACAGTCATTAAGGATCTCCACATATTAGTGACAACTCTCCTTGAATAAAATTATTATTCAAATAAATACAACTTTTCTTGAAGGTTTTCTCAAGCATTAAGAAGAGATGAGAAATAGTAAGCTTGACATGGGAAGATGTAGTAAGGAAAAGGATAACTTTTTTAAAAAATGATCCAGGGCTGATATCCTGCTATGTCATCTGACTTAATGAGCACATCATGATCATAAAGAATAATGCTTCTATATTTGATTTAGATTTGTAGATTTTTCATTGCAGAAAAATATTTTAAAATTAACTTAAAAGTCTCAAGCACTAAAATGTCCAAGATACCTAAATAAAATCTTTAATATTATGAAATACTATGAAAGTATTGTCTCATTTTCAAACAAAAGAAGAAATTTCATATTCTCCCAAATCTCCCAATGACCTGTCATCTCTATTTTTAGCTTCCTGTTATGGATTAGTCCAGAACTCAGAAGAAATTTGACAAGTTTACTGAGTATACTTTGGTAAGAAGAAAACATTCCCTGACAGACTCCAGGAGTCAGAAAAGGTTTATGCTAAACTAAGAAACTCTTCCAATGAATGATTAATGTAATTACAGTATTTGCTAGTGTAACCCTAGTCCTAAAGCCCATTGGTGCAGGATTTTGATGTCCACCAATAAGGAAAGAGTCCCATAGGCTTTGGGCTTGGGTTACACTAGACTCTTCTGGTTATAGCTTTGAAGTAAAAAATTCATCTTTAATTTCATCTTTATGATAGCCATTATTATATTTTCTGGTTTTAATTATTAAAGTAGCCAAACATAGCATAAGGAGAAGACATACCAGTTTTGAGAAGCTCCATTGAAAAATCATGCACAGGAAGCTCATGGTTCTTGTGGATACTGATTAAGTGCTTGTAATGAGGGATGTCATTTCTATGTATCCCATTGATGAGAAGGCCATGTTGTGGTTTATGGGTAATAGTGAACATCAAATGATCTTTTGGTACGTCAAAGTCAGTTGCTTTGATGACTGAAGGATCCAATTCTTTCATCTGACCCTCAGAAACCTAAACCAGAATATATCAGAAAACAAACCTTGGGTATGAAAATTAATCTTGCTCCCAAGAACATCTCTATGAAGCAGAATCCATTGAAGTACATTTTACTTCAACAATTCGATTAGGCAGAGTTCTCAAAAGATTCCATTGCATGCCATAGAATTATTTTTTTCCTGCAACCCTGGAGTGTTACACAGATACAAGCCCATGTAAAGTCCAAGTAAATAAGTGAAGGCAAGAAGGGATTTCAAAAGACCAAGCAAAGCAAGCAAAAATGCATGTTAGCACCTCAGAGACAGCTACACAAAATGTTGCTTTCTTTCTTACAGTGATATTCTGGGCCACAAAGTCAGGAACTTCATCATTGGTGGGGTTAATGAGAATGGAAAAAGGGATTTCCACAGAATGCTGTTTTCCATCTGTGACGTAAATCATAAATTGATCTGCAGTTGGCTCTATCCTCAGATGCCTGGACTGCACATAGTTTATGTGCAAAGCCTTCATGTCTTTCCACTGAAATGAAGCTGGAGCGCACACAAAGAAATGGCAGACAACATAAGAATTACATTAAAACCAAACCAAACCAAAAACCTGTAGTACTCAGTGCTTAGCAAAATAGACTGTTGGACAGCAAAACAAATGGGAAGGCATCTATGTGCCTCAGATAAATGGCAGAGAGCCTTTCTATTTGCTTCAAATCATCCTCTTTAAATAAGCATTTCTTATTTCATTCATACGGTGGCATTGCACAAGGTCAAAGCAGTTGGTCAAGAAGTAAAATGTTTAGTAGTTCGCTGAGTATTTTAACTACATAATGCCAAACAACTAGCTTGGCCTAATGGGCAAATTGACTAAGGTCAATTAAGTTCTGCCTGTCCCTTTCATTGTGCCCTCTGGACTTTGCACTCCATAATTAACAAACTTTCCTTCATTTTAGACACCTTGCTCTCCTGTTCCTTCCATCTTCTGGCACCCAGCTCTCCATGACATTGCATCATTGCCGTTCCCTCCTACACTGACTTTTTTGTTGTTGTAGTTCAGTCATTTCAGCCATGTCTGACTCTTCATGACCCCAGTATCTTGGCAAAGATACTGGAGTGCTTTGCCACCTCCTTTTTCCAGCCCATTTTACAGATAAGGAAACTGACGCAAACAGGAGTAAGTGACTTGCCCTGGGTCACTCAGCTGGTGAGTGTCTCAAGGTAGATCTGAATTCAGGAAAGTGTCTTCCTGACTCCACATCTGGCACTCTATCCAGAGCACCATCTAGCTGCCCACACTGACTTTACCTTCTCTCGTAGTGTAATCATTGCCCCTGACCATTGCACCAACACATCAGCTCTTAAGAGGAAGTTAGTTTTTCCTTGCTCCCCACTAGTACTTCCAGAAGACTATCTATCTCTTTGCCACCATCACTCAACAACCTCACCTCCTCTGAGGTTCACTCTATCCATATTTATCTCCTAATTTAGCTACAAATCCTAAGGTTATTTGACTTTCTTTCTCAAGGAATTTCATACCTGGATCACAGACTTCTTTTCCACCCCAATTCTGCCCTAATATAAGACCCATTATCATCTATGTTGATACTTCCTCAATCTCCTCCAATCTATTGATTTACAATTCCAACTCCACCTCAGCCATACTTAGGGACGGATCTCACCATCATCCATAAAGCATTCTACTTTCCCAATCATCTATCATTTCATCCCTCCCAGTACCTTACCACTTAGAAATCTCTTCTTTGTCATCACCATACCTTTCAATTCCTCTACTCCTTAGTGCTCTCTCAGGCTATCACCCTTGCTCTGACTTCATATTCCTATCTTCCCAATCTTGACCCTATAAATTAACCAGTTCAATACCACCTTCTTATCTACTCTGGAATCCCTGGCTCCCTTGTCCTATTGACTCACATACCTTATCAAACTCAAACCCTGATTCACTTCCATCATCCATATCTTACTCTTACTCATTTGCTGCTGAATAGAGCTGCAGTAAATTATGCAACTAAGCCAACCAAGCCCACTACAAATTGATGTTATCTGATATCAACTGGGCTCTCAATTTGACAGTGACATTCTTTTGTTCCTCCCTAGTTTATTTTTATCCTATTCCCTACATACTTTGTTCCAAACCTTTTCTTCTTTCAAGACTCTCTCACAACTCCCCTTACTCAGCTGAGCACTTTGCTTCATGTTTTACTAAAAAAAAAAAGAGACCATTCTCCAAGAGCATATTTTTATCACCTTCTTTATATCTCAAAACCCCTTCATATTGTCTCCTCCATTACCTCAATCTGATGAAGAGATTCTTCTTCTTCTTTTCAAGGTCGGTGCCTCTACACATATACTTAATCCCATCTCTTCCCATATTCTCCAATAGATTTCTCCAAATCAAATCCATTTTACTGTCTCTCTCATATCTAAATATCCTTCAGATCTTTATATCTTCTATATATCCATTCCTAGTCTCTCTCCTGAGCTCCAATGATGCATCTCCAAATGCCCATTACACATTTCAAACTAGATATTTTGTAAGGATTTCCACCTCAATACATCTAAACCACAATTTATTGCCTTTCCCCACAAAACCTACCCCTCTTTCAAACTTTACCTTTTCTGTCAAAGGCACCACAATCCTTCTAATCATGGAGGCTCATTGTGCTTGACTCCTCATTCTCACTCACTCCACATATTCAATCCGTCGCTAAATCTTGTCATTTCTACTTCTACCTTCTCTCTCACATCTGTTCCTTTCTCACTACCCACTACCCTAGTTCAGGCCCTAATTACCTTTCACTTGTTGTCATGTTATATCCTACTCTTCATGACCCTATAGACTACAGCACGCCAATACTGTCCATGGGATTTTCTTGGCAGAGATAGTAGAGCAGTTTGCCATTTCCTTCTCCAGAGGCAAACAAAGGTTAAGTGACTTACCCAGGGTCACATAGCTAATAAGTGTCTGCAGCCATATTTGAACTTAGGCTTTCCTGATTCCAGGCCCAGCACTCCATCCACTGAGTCATTTACTTACCTCTAAACCTCTCACTTGGACTACTGCAATAATTGATTCCCCTGCCTCAAATCTCTCCAAACTCCAATTCATGTTCCATGCAGCTTCCAAATTGGTTTTTCTAAAGTGGATCTCACTGTATCACTACTCTACTCAAAAAACTGCAATGGTTCTCTATTCCCTTTAGGACAAGGATTTTTATGTTTTATTTTTGTTTTTTGTGCTGTGAACTCCTTTGGTAGTCTGGGGAAATCCCCTGACCCTTTTGCAGAATAATGTTTTCAAGCAATTGAAAAAATGCTATATTTAATGAGTTAGCAGTGAAAATAAAGATGTCATTTTTCTCTCCATCCAAGTACACAGACCCCCCAACCCCTGAAATCTTAACCCAGGTTAATACTTTGTCCTTCTCAGACTTTGTCCTTATCGTTTCTGGCCACCACTATATAAGCATAACATTGGTAAGCTGAAGAGTGTCCAGAGGAGGGCAACCAGAATGGTAAAAGTCTTTGAGTTCATGATATACAACAACATGAAGAAAATGGACATGGAGGAGATGGAGGGGGGGCAGAAATGAGAGCTGTCTTCACTGAATATTTAAATGACTTTTGTTCATACAACACTCCATCTCCCGTCCATGTGCCTTCATACTGACTGTCCTCTATGCTTGGAATATTCTCCCTCCCAATCTCTGCCTCTAAGACTCCCTTTTTATCCTTCAAAATTCTGCTCAAGTGCTACTTTCTACAACAAGCCTTTCCTGATTCCCCCAGGTATTAGTATGGCTCCCTAATTACACCGTATTTACTTCATACAAACTTCTATACATATACAGTATCTCCCCCAGTGGAATGTAATCTCCTTGAAGGCAGGAATAATTTCATTTTTGTCTGTTATATACCTGGCACCTAGTATAGTATCTGGCACATCACAAGCAATTAATAAATGCTTGCTAGTTGATTGCTTGTTACTTAGACATTATGTTTGAGTGGCAGAAAGCAAAACCCACTAAGGTGTTCATCAGACACCTGGTGAACTTTTGTAAATGTCAGGATCATTAATTTCAGACACAATATTTCTCACCTCTGTAGTAAACATGTCTCAGAAGTTAGGTCAGAGACTCAGAGACTCAGAAACATTCCAAAAATGTTTCCTCTTGAAGGTTAGGTTTTTTTTTTTGTAACCCAAGAGACTAATTCTAAGTTTTCATCCTTAAACTAACCCTAGGACTACGGTGACCATTGGGCGATGACTTTTCTTTTTATTCAGAACAATTTGTAACTAATTGTTTACTAAGGAAGAAAGACTCTTTAGGAAGAGAGGGGCTGAAATCTCTATCAGTGAATGGAGTACCCACACCAATCAATTGACCAATCCTTGAAGGCTTAAGTAAATGCCAAAACTACAATACTCTTTGGTCCTATGAATGCTAAAAGAAAAAAAAAAAGCTCTCATTATAACCTATCCTAATTTCTTCCATGAATGAAATATCAAATTACCTCAAAAGAGGCTCATATCCACATGAAAATAAGGAGAAACTCAACTATAAATAAGATTCTAATAGCCTTGACTATGCTACTTTGATACTTGAAGAATCTGTAATTCTGTCAGCTTTCCCCTTGCACAGTCTGCTACTCCCCTCTCTGCAACTCCCCTATCACGTGTAGATGGCTTGATGTTATCCATCCATATGTCCATGTGCTAAGCCTTTCTATTTTGGTAGAATCTAGGTGAGCTCATGCCCAGACTGCATAGCCTTTACAAACTCAGAATCACTCCATATCACGATATAGCACCAAGGAAGAATTTAAAGAGGAATCACCCAACTATAACAAGAACTTCTTACATGTGTTTAGTGCTTTTAACTTTTCCTTTCTCAAACACTGATTTAAAAATAATAGTAATAATATTAATTAAAATAAGTAACAATTAGTAAATAGTATACAGTAATAAATATTAATAACAAAATAATAGTAATAACAACAGCAACAATACTAAATTTATATATCACTTTAAGGTTTGCAAAATGATGAATATTCATTTTTTCATTTCCATATCAGCTTAGGCATCATTCTGCCAACAAAGAATTATATGATTTCTATGTTCTCTTTTAGGTTCTAATCTTCTATAAGTCTATTGGCTCAGAGAAGTAGCCAGAGGTCTAATGACCATGACTTACCTATACTTATGCCAATATTGCTTTTTTCAAAACCTGGTGAAGGTAATATATTTTCAACATAACCAAATTGTGGAGGAGAAACCAAAGCAAACTCTAAGTCATCCATGGCTGTGTCAGGGTCAGTAGTGATTAAATGGTTAATGGTAATGGCAGCTGAAGAGCCCTCATCCACAACAAACCGGGTACCTGCACATGAATAACATCAGGGTTGTGATTTCACTTTTTATCAGAAATGATGAGATCAAAAGGGAACAATTGGAATTTAATTCATGGGAGACTCTACATGCAAATTTGCTGGAATGGGAAGATGATCACATTGGTTGACAAACCTTCCCTTCTAGTGAAGGTCTTGGGGACATGGGAGATGAGGGACATGTTAGAATTTAATTTCACTTAAAAATTGCATTTTCTTCTATAAAAAAGCCAGATAATAACCAAAAGACAGCAGCAATGCTACATGCTCCCTTATAGATTTCCATTCTTTCTAAAGTCCTCTCTCTGATTTCCCTTGTGTCACCACATAAGTGACAAATGAAAAAAAAAACTGCCCAACAGCCTTAGTGATAAGCCACTAAACATAGTTTACGTACTCAAGATCAGTTGTTACCTCCGTTTGTCAGAGCACTAATTGCCTGAGAGCCATTATGAATTGCTCATAACGGACATTTTTTTCATGCCTTAGTGCTTAATTATTCTTCAGGGACAATGATTCCTTTCCAGAACATTGCTTGGGTGATAAGCTGCAAATTACAATAATATTCATACATATGCTTGTATTTTTTTCCAAGAGACAGAATGTATACAAAATGCCTATGAAGAGATGACTTTCTAAAAAGCAAATAAGGTTAAATATAGATAAATAGTCTCTCTGGTCTACTTACTTTCCTTTAATAGAGGTTATTATGGGTAAAATAAACGACTCTCTAGTCAGAAGGCAACTGAAATTTTCCCATTTGAAATTAAAGCAAAAAAATTGAAGACATTCACCTCCCCTCTTCCAAATAAATATGTATGTAAAATTGTTAGAGCAAATTATTTGTCTTGTGAACATTTAACAAAACTGATTTTTATAAGCCTCTGTGCTTAACTTAGTTAAAATTAAAATGGGACATATATAGGAGAGCCTATCTTCATGGTTTTCTAGTCTCATCATAACTCAGGTCTTACTATTTGTAGGAATAATTCTCACATTAACCTTCTGACAATGGTTTAACATGAAATGACTTTAATAGAAAAAGAATTTTCACCAGTTGTAACAGTTGGGGGTTGGTTGTCCACAGGGTACACAGTCACATTGAGATCAAACACTGGAAAAGAATGGTGAAGTGGCAATGGGAAAGACGCAGGTTCTTGGTAGCAACAGTCATGAGGGCCAGCTTCTCCATCCGAAACCACCAAAGTAATGGTGTCAAAACAAGGGGCCATGCCAATCTCTCCACCTGGAAAAGATAACTAGGTATAAGATTTTGATTTTTTTTATAACAAAGAAATAACATATCATGTTTATGCCCAGTCCACACTCCCTGTCTAAACTTGGAAGAGTGAAAAAACTGGAGGCGTGGACATTTCAAAACCACTTCCATGGTAATGATATTATCATTACGCAAACAAAGCACATATTCACCTGCTGTTCTTAGAGTACCTTTTTCCTGAAATCTCTGACTATGATGGCATCAAAATTGGAGCTGACCAGGATTAGGAGTTCAGGAAGGCAAGGGGAAGCTACAGAGGTTGCTTATGCTGTGACAGTAACACTCTTCTCTTCAATTATCAATTGCCATTGATAAGCAAAATGGAAAACCAGTACCTTTCACCACTATAAATGCCCATTTGCACCAATATCTTAAGTTAACTATTCTCAATTACTTATATGGAAGGAGGAACTGGACGCACATAATCCTAAAGCTATATTCTGGTTATTTGTTTCAACCACTTTCTCGTTAATTTTTTTTTTTTTTTGGTGAGGCAATTGGGGTTAAGTGACTCGCCCACAGTCACACAGCTAGGAAATATCTGAGGCCGCATTTGAACTCAGGTCCTCCTGACTCCAGGACTGGTGCTCTATCCTCTGTGTCATTAATTTATTTTTAACCAGGGTTGCTAACAAACAAGAAAGTCATTGGGGGGACAATGGACATTTCCTTTATTTTCCTTTTCTACCCTGAAATGATCCTATTAATAAGTAGCAAAATGGCCCCCAAAATGATAAAGGAGAGAGGAAGACATGAATATAGGAACCAGGTTCTAACAATGGACAATGAACTTCTGAATAATTGAGTATTGTCTTGCCTTAAGGGGATTTTAAAGTGCTTTATAGGTATGCTTTCATTCATGCTCACACCACTTTGAAAAGATAAAGAAGGCAAGAATTAAATTGAGATCACTGACTAGTATGCAGCCCAAAAGACCTGGGAAGTCATCTTCAGGCTAGGTCAAATAAGACAGAACCTTGGAATCATGTCTGGCATTGGTTTCCCTATTTTACAAAGGATGTAGAAACAGTAGAAATGACAGAAAATGGCAACCAAAATAACAAAAGGGTTGGAAAATAGACCTGTTAGGAAAAATTAAGTTGGCATGGGGAGGATTAAGATGTGTCTTCAAGTTTACAAAGAGTTATTAAGAGTAACATGACTATTAGTAGTCCATAGCCATAAGTGAATTTAACTTGCATTAAAGGAATTTAGTAATACAAAAAGAATATTTTGATTTTAAAAGTGATTGAGCCATGAAAATATTGAAGAATCTTCTACTCTTACCTCAAGACCATAGATCTCTGGTGGTTTATATAGTTGCCTCCCTAGAGGCAGAGTGCTAAATCATATGACCCTTGAAAATTTCAAGTCCTGGGATCTTTTATCCTTCATTCTGTAGTCAATAAGATCATAGGGACTTTATAGGAATTCTACTCCAACCCTCTCATTTTATGGATGAGGAAACTTCAGGTTTGAGAGGGTAAATAATTTGTCCAAAGCCACACTATAAGTAGTAGAACCAGAAATCAAACCCATATCTTCTGATTTCATATCCAGGCTCATGTATTTTCAGAGTCCAAACAAGGAGGCACATCTGGAATTCAGGAATAAGGTTAGAAAATGTAACCCTTGGAACCTGAAGGCAAAAAAAAAAATCCCCATAAAATGAATGAGCTGAGTAAGCTATCTGTGGAAGGAAATTAGCCTAAGAAACAGCCTGTCATGCGGCAGATAAAACTGAAGTGCTTCCTGGATCTCTGCTGGAGGCCCAGAGTACCTCCCTGGAAAGGAAGACAACCATTTAAAATGTAACCGATATAAGAGAAAGGGTAATTTTGGAAATTGGAGCTTGTCTGTCATCAGGAAATGCTATGAAAGCCTCTTTTAGTGAGTGATAAAGAACTTTGAGAAAGGAAAATTATAATGGTAAGAATGTGAAATTAGTAGACAGGATAATCTGCATGGTCCCTTCTGGCTCTAACATTCCAGGAGGGACGCTGTGATGCTATTTATCCAGTCCTGTCCAAGGGTGAAGGGTTATCTGATAGACATAAGTCATTTGTTACTAGAAAGTATATACTATGTAGAGAAGTGGAGATAATTCTCCAGTCTCTACCAGGCTAGAGGAGGAGACATTCTCTCTTGGTCTCTCTAATACTATCTCTTCACCACTACAACTGATTTCCCACCTGCCTCAGTCTCTTGGATTTTAGTATACCAAGGAACCCTGGATCTAGTACAGTGGGAAGAGCACTGGACTTGGAGTCAGAGGACCTGAATTCAAAGTCTACCCTCTGGGGCAGCTAGGTGGTGCAGTGGATAGAGCACTGGCCCTGAAGTCAGGAGGAACTGAGTTCAAATCCAGCCTCAGACCAAACATTTGACACCTACTAGCTGTGTGACTCTGGGCAAGTCACTTTACCCAATTGCCTAAAAAAAACAAACAAACAAACAAACCAAAGTCTACCCTCTGACACCCATTGCTTGCCAACTTGGACAAGTCACTTAACTGTCCTCGGCTCTAATTTCCTCACCTATAAGATGAAGAGGTTGGACTAGATGGTGTCTGAGCTCTCTTCCAACTCTAGAACCATGACGCCATGATAACTTAATATCCCTCAAGTCCATATAACTCCTGCTCTTATTCCACGTTCACCAAAGAAATTCTACTTACTAATTCAGTTTTGTAGCTACTTTGCAACGGAGAAGGCCTTCTGAATTGAGAGAAGAAAACCAGTATTCTTTTTCACACTGTACATCGGTCCCCTCCCCACCACCTTTGTCAATGAATAAATTGATCTTATGATCTGTTGTGAGTTTGGTTGGTATATTTTTTTGCCTGAGCTTGTAACTCATATATAGTACAGCTGAATCAGGAGAGGGAAGTCACACGCCCCGGGTCATTCCAACCTGGGGGAGGGGTAGATATTTCCTCCAGCTTCAGTTCTTGCCTCCAAATCCAGTTCTGACTTCTCAACCTTAACTTCACTCCTATAACCAGATTCCCAATTGGCTCAATCTCTTTCATTTCAGCATGCCAAAGGAAGCCCCGGAACTGGACAATCATGGTTTCTCGGCCTCACCCATTTGGATCCTACTGCTCCAGCTCAGAAGAGATTTCTATTTCCCATGCCGATGATTATTCTAACAATGAGTATGCCTAAGCGTGGAGACAGAATATGATGACCCTGCAGAACCTGATTACCCTGGGTAGACTGATAAAAACAAGTTGCTCATTCTGTGAATCTAAGGACTAGATTCTGGACCCAAAGTGACCCTTCTACTCTTATAATGTCCAGCCTAAAAAGTCAGTCAATTTTATCCTATCTTTCCCTCTAAATGCAAAACATTACAAATGCCATGTAACAAACCTGAATTTTAAATGGAAAAATGCACTTTGAATTCCATCTTTTATTCGTTTGATAACACCAAACACTTAAAGTGAGCATGGCCAAATTAGATTGGCAATAGCACCATTAAATCTAATTTGTTGTAGCCTCTATGTATGGCAACCTCCACACAACAGAGACCTAGAAATACTAGGCTTTGCTCTTCAGACACCATTAAGGTGACACTGGGCAGATTGGACATCCCATATGTAATCCTGCAAAAGAGTTATTCTTTCTTGGGTCATTTTTCTACCAATCTAATTAAACAGAAAATATGGAAACTAGAAAAAAAAAAGCAGTGAATTCTATTCTATTCTATTCTATTTCACATCAAGGACAGTGGACATATGGAATATGTCCCTAGGCCAAGGACACTGAAGAGAAACAAACTAATGAAAAATTTACTGAGGTTCATTACTATAGAAAAGAGAGAAAGCAGATACTAAGCTAAACTTTAAGCCAGTGAATGTTAATACAGGAAATTAAAATTTTTTACATTCATAATTTTTCACATGGATACTTACTTTACAGATTTAGGCCTGGAATGGACCTCGGAGGCTATCTAATAGAATGCCTCATTTTATAGCTGGAAAACTGAGGGCCAGGGATTAAGTGACTTGCCCAAGGTCACACAGGTTGTGAGTATAACCTGTGTTTCAGAGCACAGTAATCCAAGGATGCATGATAAGAGATGTCAGAGGAAAAATCTAGAGGTTCCATGGATGTTTGCATACCTGGGAATGGTTCATGGAGAATTCTGGGAAGAAAGGGAAAAAAAAAATGTGTGCAAGTTCCAGAGAAATGAATGTGTTTTCCGTCTTGAGGGGAGCAATGTGTTTCTTTGATAGTGCCTACATCCCAAAGCACTGTGAGAACCTACTACTGAGGAGATGCTGCTTGGCAATGCAAATACAGTATTATGGACTAAATCCAGTTGAGAGAGTCAACCCTCATAGAGACCACTCCTTTTACCTGTGGTGGCCACGTTTAGAGGAGGATACAATGCACTACTCCCGTTCTAGGACCTAAGTAGGAAGTCTTTCTTGCTCCAGGCAGTTAGGTGCATCTCTGGTTGTTGTACTTTCACTACTCTGATCAGTTCCTACTTCCCCATTCAGAGTTCTATTCAATCTCTCCTTGTGATGTTCTAATTCATCTTCTTTGACACAAAAAACTTCTCTGCAGTCACTTTCCCATCATTTTTCAGGATGCAGGCTCTGGGGAAGAGACAAATGACTGCATGTGTTTCTCTCCCTCAAGATGGAGAACACATCTGTCCCTCTCTCTCCCTTCTTCCCAGAATTATCCATGAACCACTCCTAGTCACACACACACACATATACAAATTCAGGAATTTTCCTTAAAAAAATTTCCGTTGTTATACCACTCGGGATTGGTGGGCCTCAAATGATGAGTTATATATATTTCTGAGGGAGGAATTTGAACCCAGACCCACTGACCCTAATGGCAATATTCTTTCTAATGTACCACAATGCTGGCATTTCAAGAGGACTATTTCAAAACAGCCTTCTGTGAGGAAGGAAGGCCTACACAGGACTTCAGCTAAAAAAAATCTGAGGATGTTAGTGAGGATTGCAAACTCAAGATGAGTCATCAGTAGGATATGGGAGCCAAAAGTGTCGATGCTGCATTAGGCTGCATTTAGAGGTAGATGATGCCCAAGGTTAATAAGGTGATAGTTCCTCCATTCTCTGCTCAGGTTCAACCAGATATGTAAGTATTTTGTTCAGTTCTAGGCAACACATTTTAAGGACTTTTATATATCTTTTACTCCTTGAAGATGTTCTTTTATGGATCTCAGTTAAAATACGTATACGGTAGTCCATTGTACCACACCTAAGTATTATCTAAAATAGAGTTTTTTGAGACCTCGATCCACTCCTGCCCCATACCCAACACACAGCAGAAATATCATAGAGGAAATTAACAGGGTGTGCTGGGGAGCCATTTTGGCAACCCAGAGAATTGAATTCTCTCATCTCATTGCTTGACTTCCCCAGTAATCTACTTTTCCAGTCTTTAAGACCTACTTCCACGCTGAAACAACCAGTTGGAACAAGTTATGTGTTTATAATGCCTGAAGATAAACTATAGGCTTTTTATTTACAAAACAGGAATGAGGGATAGGAAGGTCACCGGAGCTCTCAGAGGAATGACAGGGTGACAACAGCAGAGGATCCCTAATCTCCCACCTTCGTTCTGACCGCACCCTGCTCCACCTCCTACACCCATCTTTATCATTAATGTCATTTACTTGTGTGTTGGTATGTCACAGTTCCAGCATCAACGTCTCCCTGGGTGAACTGGTCCACAGCGATCCCAGATTTCCTCACGACCCCATGGAGAGGCTGACGAGTGATCATGAACATCAGCTTGGTGTCATCGCTGTCTGTGTCAGTGGCATGAATGTGTTCTGAAGTGATGACCACTTCGTCTCCCTCAGGGCAATGCACTATGGGAACGAGGTCAGCCTTCAGGACAGGGGGTTCATCATTTACTGGTAAAACCTAAGCAAAAAAGGAATGGTTGGCTTCCAGAAAAAAAGAAAAAGAAAAAAATGACAAATTGCCTAATTGGTAATCCATAGCTCACAGAGGGAGAAACAGAAGTTTTCAATCTTCTAGACACAGGAAACAATAGGTGTGTAAATTGGCCAAGCAGCCTGCATCTTTTAACAATCCCTACATGCACCATTTTGTAAAAAATGACCCATATGAGGGATATTGTAGATGGGGGTGGGTGAGTACGGTTATCATTTTGGGCCCAGCCAAACCCTCTCACACTGTACTTCAACTGTTTCAGAGCTAGCAAAATATAAAGCGCTCTTCTCCTTCATTGTTAAACTTCTGTGTATTCTAAGGGAAACCGAATCCATATGTTCTGACTTAACTCATCAAAGTTATTTTTAGCACAAGTTGCATGGTGACTATGATGCCTTCCTCCAGGCCCATTTTCCCACCACCCAGGACGCTCTGGACCCAAAAGTGGCCACATGTGTCATAAGTTCTAGAAATTTTGAGTTGACCTTGAAACGCAGTATGCTTGAAATCAGTCAGAACTCCAGGTGGAAAACCAATAGAAGCAGCTGAGGTATGGTGGAAAGGGCACCAGACCTGTGGCCAGAGGACCTCGGTTAAAAACCCACTTCTGCTACATACTACCTGGGTGACCTCGAGCAAGACATTTAACCTGAGTGTCATCATCTGTGCTTAAGGATTGCTAAGGTCCCTTCCAGCTCTAACATCCAGAGAACCTTCTCTGCCATCTGATAGGAGAAAAAGGATGAAAAAATTTACAGCAGCTCTAATTTCACATAGGATTTGATTGGCTTGATGATTTCCTAGCTGGTCTATAGACCTGTGATTTTCTTGGTGTAAGGAACTTCTGGTGTGAAAACTCCCTCCATCTACATAGACCAGCCTGAAGCACTGAGAGGCAGTGCCCGTGGTCACATAACACATTTATCCACATGACATCAATTATCACGCAGAAATCTGGGGGGGGGGGGGAAATGATTCTCCAATATTCCTTCTAGGGAAATAGGATAGGGATAGGGATATAGGATAGGATAGGATAGGGATAATTGAAATTTCCCTAATGGGCTCATACTCAATGGGCCATAACTGTAGTCATGAAGTTGACCTGTAGTGTTTCCACTCCAATATTCTAGGTTGAGAGTCAGAAAATAGCTAGTGTTGGCTTCTGTGACTAGAACTCCCCACAGTCCAAGTTCTTATCTCTGCTAAATGTGGTATTATCTTAATGTTAGTTTCATCTGGGATTACCTCCAATCTGTCCTATATATATCTTGGTGATTTCCCCATTGCATTGTGAGATCCTTGAGAGCAGGGGTTTTTTTTGCTTTTTATTGTAACCCTAGAGCATGGCACCACACCTAGCATATAGTAAGCGCTTAATAAGTGCTTGTTGACTTGACTTAAGGTAGCCTCATCATCGGCAGTGTCATGGTCTTCAATAAATAAGACTAGCTAATAGTTCTGCTAAAAATAAGCACAGATGTGCTGCTGTTTCCATTTAAAGCATTAGGTTTGGAATCAGAGAGCCTAAGTAGAAATCTCATCCCTGGTGATTATTACCTGTCTGACCATGGGGAAATTACTAAATGTCTCTGGGCCTCAGTTTCCTCCTCTGTAAGTAAAATGAGGGGGTTGGACTAGATGAGACTTTCAAAGAGAATAAGCTTTTGTTTAAAGAATGACAATAAGCAGATTATTTCCCAAACTACTCTCCCTGCATATTGTCAGCAATAAGATGGATGTGGGTGGGAGACACAGAAGTTGGTTTTTTTCCCTGAAATTTGCCTTTCAAAGAGAATTCTCTTTCTTTACCCCTTCCTTCTTCCCTCCCCCAATTGAGAAACACTGTCAGTGAAGACAACACTCTTTTATGTCACTGAAATGCTGCCCAGTCATTAGCTATGGAGACAGAGGCCCAAATTCAGCCTGGATTCTCTAAGGCTGATTCTCTAGGCCCAAAAGAAGAAAGTAAAACTTGGCTCATTTAGAATGGCTACTTACAGGAATGTAATGGAGCCCACTTACACTGGCAGAGCTGCTGATCTAACCCTTCCTACAACATCAAAGTCAAGTTAATAAGCATTTATTAAAATATCTACTATATAACAGACACTGTGAAAAACTCAGAAATCTGTGCAAAAAAAAAAAATCCTTCACCCTTTGGCCCAAGTACTTCAGGTATGGCAATGGTCCATTTATACAGCTACTTAACTTTTGTGAAAAGTTCTTCTCACAAATAGCTATTGTACAGTAAGAAGAACATTGGTTCTGGAGGCATCAACGACAGAGGATCAAATCCCATCTCTGATCCTTACTACCTGTGTCACCTTAAGCAAACTGCTTACCTACACTGGGACTCAGTTTCCTCATCTGTAAAAAGAGGGAGTTGGATTAGATGTTTCTGACGTCCCTTTCAGCTCTTTACCTATGGTCCTGGGGGCTTTCAGAACCGGATTTTCAACACAACACAGAGAGGGAACGTCACACTAACCTTGACCTGAAGGACAAATTCTGCAGAATTTGTTCCGTCTGTTGCCTCAAAGAGTATGTTGTCATGAAGAACCTCTGATCCATCATGGTGATACCTGGGGGAATTGTATTTGTCAGTGATTAGAAATGACTCCAGGAACTTTGCAATGGAGAAGCTGAACTCAATCTCCCTTGCTCGTTTTGTGTTTTCATTCTAAGAAAAGTGGGTCATTACGAAACATCTTCCAGGCTCTGCAGCGGTAATTTTCAAACATTTCATAGGCTCAGTTTCAGTCATGAAGAATATAAACACAATCTAATATAGTCATTATTAACTTATATGGGACAAGCTTCTTGGAGATACAGCATTGTAGCTGGCTTAATATTTATGTTAATTATTTTCTTTCACCAATGTTAGCACAGTGCCTGGCACATAGTAGGTACTTAATAAATATTTATTGATTTCTTATTGATTCTTCTCCTGACCCTTCAAAAAATTCCACATATATCCTTCCTACTGGACTCAATCTGACAGTAAAAAAGTCAAAATTTTTGAGGCATAATGCTCATATTCAGGTTGAAATAAGTAAAAATTTCCCAAGACCTAATAGGAATGCCACATTTCAGCATGGTTAACAGTTCCCTCTGTTCCGACAGGTTAACATAGACATTATACTTGGCTATTCATTTGACCTTCACTTAGTTTAGGGATTCTTAGCTTTTCTGTGCTACGCATGACTTTGGGATTATGGTGAACCTTATAGACCCCTTCTAACAATAATGTATTTAAATGAATAAAATAGAGCCATAGGATTACAAAGGAAATCAATTAAAAATTTTTTTTAATTTATTTTTTACCCTGAAATCTATTCACTGATCCCTTGAAGTTCTTGAACATCCAAATAAATATCCCCTGTCCTTGCTCAAGAAGATACTGAGAAGACATTAAACTTTTCTAACCTAACTTTTAATGCGTGGAGGTCTCCCCATGAAAACTCGTCTCCACGGCTTAGAGGAAAACCATCCAGTTCCACCATTCCATGTAGCGGCAGCCTCTTGAGGGACAGTCTGAGTTTGTCCTGCTTTGTATCCATGTCTGAAATCAGAATGTGCTCTGTAGTGATGACACACAGACCTCCCTCATCTACTTGCAGGGAATTGGTGAGCACCTGGAAAGAAGGAAGCATTCAAAGTTCTTTGTGATAAAAACATCCCAGGAAACTAGCCTTCAATAAACAATAAATCCCATCAAATCATAATAAACCCAGGTTCTCCATTTCCCTAAGGATCTTCCCTTGGCCTCTCCTTTGCTCTCCTTACACTCTCTTATCCTTGGAGAGCTCAGTAAGTCCCATGCTTCTAAATATCACTTATATTCTGAAAACTCCTAAATCTCTATCTCCAGGTCTAACTCTGACTTCTCTTCTGAGGTCTACACTGGTATCTCCAGATGCCTTTGGAACAGCTCCACCTGAATGTCCCATAGGCACCTCAAACTCAATGGGCCCCAAAACGAGTTTACTACCTCGCTCCCTAAACCTGATTCCTTTTCTGACTACACTATTTCTGTCAGTGATCAGGTTATTCACCCATTCTCCCCCATTCCAAATCTTGCCATTATTTTTGAGTCTTTCTTTTCTCTCATTTCTTATAGTCATTCAGTTGCTATATTCTATTGATTCCACCCTGTGCAACAACTCTTGTATTAATTTTTTTCTCCTTAATTCCAACGGCACCACCCTGGGGATCCATGTACCAAGCAGATGGAGGATGTGGCATTGAGTTTGATTTTAAAGAAAGCCTAGGAATCCAAAGGTGAAAATGGAGGAGAACATTCCAGTGGACGAAATAAGGTGAATATAGGCTTGGAGTTAAGGTATATTCAGGAATAAAAGAGAAGTTTGCTTTTACTGGAGCATAGAATACATATTGGAGAGTAAGGGAAGTCTGAAAATTAGGATTGTGCCAAATAGTAAAGGCCTCGAATGCAAAGCTAAGGAATTTGAAATGGACTCAATAGGCAAGAGAGATTTTTTTTTTTTAGCATATGAATGATATAACCATTTCTGTGTCTAACACATGTTATTTTGACAATGGTTTAAAAGAGTATGTGTCGGAGGCAACAGAGAGTGGAGGTAGGAAGTGCTGCTAAATTTTTAAAAATACTTTAGTTGGGTGCATATGAGGTCCAATTTTAAAAGAAGTCAGTAGCTTGAGATCATCAGAAGAGTTCTACAGTATCCTAAATGCTGTAAAGATTTCCTCTTATCCAATTCTGACCTAGGCTTATTTTCCCCTCTTCGTACCTCCCCGAGACATACATTGTTAAACCGGCTCAATGAACTAACTGTTCAACTATGTTATTGTTGTTCAGTCATTTTTCAACTCTGTCTGACTCTTTGTGACCAACCCCATTTTGGGCTTTCTTGGCAAAGGTACTGTAGTGATTTGCTAGTTCCTTCTCCAGCTCATTTTACAGATGAGGAAGCTGAGGCAAACAGGGTTAAATGACTGGCCCAAGGTCACACAGCTAATAACTGTCTGAGTTCAAATTTGAACTCATCTTCCTGACTCCAGCCAGGCCTGATACTCCACTGCACCACCTAGCTGTCCAATTGTACCTCACATTTTAAACAATATCATCCACTTGTTTTTGCCTACGTGCATTATTAGGTGTGTATTATGAGTGGTGGTAGCAGCTCTCATTCAGAAGGCTCTCTGTTCTCAGGCTTGATGACACCAGATCAATATTATCTGCCACCAGTAACACCTGGAATAGGTCAGTGAGGAATCCTTTCCCATTTAGTCTCTGTGATAGGCATTGTTCATGAGACAGTTAGGTAGCTTGAATGTCAGGAAGACCTGAGTTCAGATCCAGCCTGCACACTTACTAGTTGTGTGACCCTGAGCAAGTCACTCTGTATGCCTCAGTTTCCTCAACTGCAAAATGGGGATAATAATACCTATCTCCTAGAGTTGTTGTGAGGATCAAATGAGATCCTCATTTTTGTAAGATTTGTAAGAATTTTCCAAACCTTACATGTTATATAAGTGCTAGTGATGGTGATAAAACTATCATGACCATGACCATGAGGGTGACGATGGTGGTAACAACAGCAAACCTCTTTGGTCAGCATGGCTCCCTGGCTTTTTGCCTCTTGATTTTGATAATCAAAGGACCTCCAAAAATGTATCAAGTAATCCTGTATGATCTTAAATGCACACATGGGAGAGAGACCCCTTGCAGAAGGAGAACTTCAATAGGATCTTGTATTCTCTGTAACTTTCAGGCAATTATATATCTATAAATGTGCCTTGTGTTGAAGATTTTTTTCTTCCATTTTTTGCAATTTGAAGGATGTGCAGAATTCCCAGTGAGGAAACTTCTTCCATCAATGCATATCAATAATTATTCTGCAACTTACAGTCTTAGAGAATTGCCTAGGCTTTGTAAAAGGCCTTCCATCCCTTTCTTATATTTTCATCAGATACAGTGAAGTGATTTGCCCAGGGTTTCACAGAGATCCTAAGTGTCTGAGGCAGGATTTGAACTAGGGTGTTCCTGAGTCCTGGTCCAGTCTTCTATACACTGTGCCACCTAGCTGCCTCTAGCCTTTATTCTCTGGACAGCCCCCCCCAATGCATGTTGACATTCTCATTAATAACAAATCCAGAAGACATTCAACTCATAGGTTCTCCTCAAAGACACAAATAAATGAAGTGATATCCACTTAAAAATTCATTTGTAATCCAAAAAACATGGAGATACTATTTAAGAGGGCAGCTAGGTGGCACAGTAGATAGAATGCCAGTCCTAGAGTCATGAAGACTCACTTTCCTGAGTTCAAATCTGACTTCAGACATTTAGTAGCTGTGTGACCTTGGGCAAGTCATTTAACACTGTTTACCTCCATTTCCTCATCTGTAAAATGAGCTGGAGAAGGAAATGGCAAACTACTCTAGTATCTCTGCCAAGAAAACCCCAAATGGGCTCACAAAGAATAGGACATGACTAAAAATGAGTCAGCAACAGCACTGTTTAAAACAATTTGTCATGACAGTGAAAGTTTAAAATAAAAATAACCTGCTAAGAACAAGAAGATAAACAAAACGGACACTAGAGAGTCCTTCTTATTAAAACAAAATGACTAAAATGGGAAGAAAGTATAGACTGCTGGAGTGGGGAACCTGCAACCTTGAGGCCACATGTGGCCCTCTAGGTCCTCAAAAGGGCTGCACTCAAGGACCTAAAGGGTCACATAAGGCCTCGAGGCCACAGGTTCCCCACCTGTGGTATAAAGGAGAAAGAGCTGTTGTTGGAGTTCAGATGATTTGGGTTCAAAGTCAGCCTCTGACACCTGCTGTCTGTGTGACCCTGGATAATCACAACCTCCCAGGGTTCCCAGGCTCTCTCTACCACTCTATGTGGCAGATGGGAGGAGCAAGCCATCCTTATCTGCCTCTCCCTACAAAGATAAAATCCCAAGGCTGGCTCAAAAAAAGACTACCGTGCTACACATATCTTATTATACTTACAATAAGCCTTAAATAAATCCTGGTTGTTAAAAGTGAACCTGAAAACAGCATTTTTTCTATTTGACACATGACAAACATACAATAGCACATTGCTTTGCACATAATAGCTGTTAAATAAAAGTTTGTGGAATTGAATTGAATTGCATAATAAAGCAATAGGGGAACTATGCATCATAAATATTTATAATAATGTCCTTCACATTTATAACTTGAAATTAATACATTTCTGAAAAACTGTTTCCAAATGTGAAGTACAATTAAGTTGCTAACGACTAAAAGCAATCATCAGCCAAATTCTTCCCCCATAAAGGGGGGAGGAAGTTGGCTAGCAAAAACAGAGTTCCTTCTCAAACGCAAATGTACCATGTGTTTGAACAGAACCCTGGCTTCTGTAACCTTAAAATATTTTGCTATCACTTCATAAATTTAAGTTTTCTGATTCAATCTTTTAAAAAATGAAACCTACAATTTAGGTACACTGTCACCAAGTAGTACATCATGGCCCTATTTATCAAAATTTTATAATAAAAATTAAAGCTCTTTATTGGAATAGTCATTGAAATATTAAAGCATCAATATTTTTGGAGATTAAACTACATAGCAATTTTTCAAAGAAATAAAAATGTATGATTCAATCCACAGAATCAACGAATCTTAGAGTTAGAAGAGACCTCAAGGGCGAGTCAGGTTTAATGCATACCCCAAGAGTGAACAGAGTGCCAGGACTGGATTCAGGAAGATCTGAGTTCAAATCCAGTCTCAGATACTAGCTTCCTGATCCTGGACATATCACTTAATCTCTGTCTTTCTTGGTTTCCTCAGCTGCAAAATAGGGATAATAACAACACATACCCCCCCAAAGTTGTTATGAGGTTCAATTGAGATGATATTTGTAGAGCACTCTGCACAGTGCCTGGTATATAGTAGGTGCTTAATAAATGCTTGTTTCCTTCTTCCCTTCATTAATTTAATATTTTATTCATTCAGTTATCCCCCTTGCTACCATGAATTTGATATACATTTCCTCTTTACTGCACCAATCCCTTTTTTCAAGAGTTTGTACAGGTTATTGGAACTTCAAGCCAATTTTGAGTCAAAAGCTCTTAGAGCTTCTCTCCTAGTAGGTTTTTCAGTTCAGAGAATCATCCTTGTGACTGTCTTTTTCAAGCTTATCAAGCTTATTTTCCTTCTCAGTGCTTAATTCAACAAAGTCTTTTCTTCATTCCCACAGAGCAGATTAATAGTGTTAATTCACATCTAAGGTATAAAAGGCACTTTCCTCCCAATATAAGGAAGGTCACTCAGGTGTAATTATTGCCATTTTACTTATGAGGAGACTCAGGCCCTGAGAAATTAGGTGATTTCCCCAGCTAGAGGGTAACTGAACTGGGACTCAAACAAAAGATTTCCGACTCTATAGTCAATGCTCTTTTCCCTTTAGTACATTGTAGAACTATTTACTGGTATTTACTCCTGAAAGTACTCCTGTCTATCTTACTCCAGTTCAAAAGAAAGTACCTTCCCATTTCATCTATTAAGTTTCCCCATTCTGATCATATTTCTCCTGAAAGAAGTGTGAGTTATTTTGCACATATTACTACTAGTTTTCCTAAGCAATACTTGAACAACATTTCTCTGTTCAACTTACAAACTTTCCTAGATGATGAGTCTGCTTAAAAGACTGTCATTCTTTACATGGTCAAATGCATTCTGAACAAATTTTAATTTAATGTCTTTGAACAGGTTAAAACTGGTTTCATCACAGTAAGCATGGACTTTGTTTAAAACAGAGGATGAAGAGGCAGAGAATACTGCGGAAAGAAGATTCCTATGCATAAAAAAATAATAAAACAATAACTTTTATAAAGTGCTCAAGACTATAGAGCCATCTAGTCATTAGAGGTAAAAAAGAAACCTAAGAGATCATCTTGTCCACCCCACTCATTTTTACAAATGTGGAAACTGAGGCTCTAAGAGTTAAAATCACTTTCCCATTAGTTAGCATTAGTTAGTAAGTGACAAAGCTAGGATTCAAACCTGGATCCTCTAAGTCTAAATTTAGTGCTCTTCCTCTTATATTACTTTCATGGTTAGCCTCTCTCCCAACTGCACAGAGAAGCAGAGGAGACTCCATTCCTTTGCTTGTCTCCCTTTTAATATCAAGAGATCATGCTTTAAATGTCTTTGTAGTTACTGAAAGGGAAAAGAGAGTCCCACAATGGTGATACTAATGATGTACATAACTCTGAGGAGGGAGGAATAAAAAAATGCGAAAAATATCAATCTCCTTAGTTATCAATGGGATACAATGTAGTGGAATATTAGTGTGTAGAAAGAAATGGGGTGGGGGAGGGTGGAATAGTCCAAAGACACATGGAAAGAATTGTATGAATTGATGCTGGGAAAAGCAAGCAAAACCAGAAGAACAATTTATACTATAACATCAATATTTTAAAAATGAACGATTTTGAAAGACTTAAAAACTCTGATCAACTAGATGATCAGCCCTGATCCCAGGGGACTGAAAAAAAGAGAATGTTGCATAGAGAGAGACAGAGAGACAGAGAGAGAGAGAGAAAGAATATAAGCAGTCAAGCAAACATTCACACATTGGCCACAACCAAAATACATATTTCCCATTTTGCATATTGGTCCATTCTCTCTCTCTCTCTCTCTCTCTCTCTCTCTCTCTCTGTCTCTCTCCTCTTTCTTTAGTGGGTGGCAGGAGGTGGGAAGGAGAAAAAAATAAATTCTTGATAATTGAAGAAATTTAATTCAATTTGAAAAATCTCAGTCCCATAACTATAGAAGTAGCACAGGTGGCAGGTCATATTTTAATGATGGGCCACAGTTCCTTAAGGCTTATCTAAACATTGGGTGATAAAGGGAGGAGGAAGGATAAATCCATTTTTAGCTTCTTTTGGAAATTATAAAGCCTATCTAGATTATATGGTAGCATTGCTGGCCTGCAGGGAAAGCAAATTAGCACTCTTTGGTTGCTAGGAAACCCATAATTTAATCTCCTTCCACTGTACAACATGTGAGACACAAGGAAGCAGGAGAAAATAAAATTAAAGAGGTATTGATGAAATTTGAAAATACCTCCACATTTGGGAACTAGAAAGTCTCACCTTTTAGATAATAGAACTTTGGTTACATGAGAAGTAAAAATCTCTCTGCATTCCCAGTTAATGGCATCTAAAGAATGCTATTTACAAAAAAATACAAAGAAAAGTCATTCTCTTCAATTCAATTCAATGAGCTCCTACCCGGTTACATATGTAAGATATAGAAAGAAGAGAGATGTGACATATCTTGCTCTCAGAATGTTTAATGGGAGAAAGAATGTTTTGGGGAGAGGGGAAGCATTGGCTCTGGAGTCAAAGGACTTGGGTTCGAATACCACTTCTGATGCTTGCAACCTTGTAACCCTGGACAAATCACTGAACTTCACTGGACGTCAGTTTCCACATGGATAAAATGAAGTCAGGCTACCTCCTCTCTGAGGTCCCCTCCAACTCCACTTCTATGGTCAGGGGAAATTGGGACTTTGCTCCAAAGCTCTTAAATTTAAAGGGGACTGGCAGCACATTACATTCCTCTGGCAGGATGGAAACAATTAAGCTTAACACCACATTGCCAAGAATGGGAGCTCTGCCCACGGGGGTCAGCGTTCTGGAGTATCTCCCTCATGAGACTTAGTTTCCCAGGGTCTCTCCCATGCCTCTCCTTCAATGAATGTCTTTAAAAGTTTGTTTGAAAGCATTTTATATGCATCCTACCCTGGATGCCCAACGGCTAATGAGAGCTCTGAGGGAAAGTGAGATTAATACAAAGGAATATGCCAAATAAAATATCAAGAGAAATTTGAGACCTTAGTCTAATTCCTTCCTGCCCTTCCTTCTCTTCCCTTTTCTACTCCCCTTCAAAGTTGTACCTACCTCAGGAGCCTGATTGTCCACAGGGAGAATAGTAATGTTAAAGCAAATTCCATGCAAAGCGCTACCATGTTGGTTACTGATGGAGAAAACAAACTGAACGTGCTGGAGATGGGGTCCTATGTCTCGCATGGGAGGCATGTAGGCCACTTTCATGTGGTTTACAGCATGCTGCAAAGACAATTAACAATGGGAAAGACAAGTTTGTAGTGACCAAGCGCTTGCAACAGAGCTTTTGTGGCAGTTGGCAATGATTAGCCTAAAGAGCATTTTTCAAATGTGACCTTAAAATTTCTTCTGAGATAGATAGTCTCCAAGAGGTAAAATCATCTTTTTTCACAAATTAGGAAAGAAGTGAGATGATAGTAATGCTTCTCTCCCTCATCTGAAAGTCACAGAGCATCTTGTACTGCTCTCATTCCATTTTCACATTATACTTGGATGGTTATTTGTGTCTCATCACCTATTTATAGATAAGCAATTAGTGGAGCCTAGCATTGACGAGAAGGAGGAAAGTGGGCAGGATCTCATTTGGGAAATTGTGTAGCATTTTCAGTGACCCCAAGCTGTGCCCTGCAATGAAATCCTATCTTTTTTAACAATGTTTTCCTGGTAATGCTGTATTATCATATATCATGAAACATTCAAAGATCTCAGAAAAATCGCAAGTGACCTGAAGGACAATAAATAATAAACATAAAACATGTGAACGTGTTATGCAGAGTATTATCAACAATGACTCTTGCATGAGAAATGACATGCAAGTAAATTAAAGATATTTTAGCATTTAGGTAGCATAGTAGATAGTCTGCTCACCTAAGCATCAGAAGAACCTGAATTTGAGTTGCACCACAGACAGTTATTAGTCATGTAACCCTGGGCAAGTTGCTGAATCTCTCTCAGCCTCAGTTTCCTCATCTGTAAGATGTGATTAATAATGGCACCTACTGCCCAGGTTTGTAAAATGAGATAATATTTTAAAACACTTTGCAAACTTCAAAGCATGACATATATGCTAGCTATCATGATGATGATGGTGATGGTGATGACAATGATGATGGTGAAGATGATGAAGTGAACATAAAAGTAGATAAACCGATGTTGTAACAGAAGCTGGAGAAATCAGATGGAAAACATAAGTGTCATATGTAAAATTAAAAGATGTAGAGGTAGGTGTCCAGTGAATTGAGCAGATCCTCTGTGGAAGATTTATGGAAAGACACGGACAAGAGTTACACAGAATTAAGAAGGCATAGGTAGGTTAGGCTTTCTAGTGGTAGAGAGAGTGGTCCACTGGAAATCTAGATTCATTAAAATATTAGAGTAAGTCTTAGTACCTTCTACTAGTTCTTTGAGGGCAAAAACTAGGTCTTAATATTTATGTTAGGCCTAGTACAATAGACAACAAATCTTGGCTAACTTGATTTGAAACGACTGTAACCCACAACCCAACTTAAATGCCATGTCTTCCATTAAGCCTTTCCTGATCCACTTGATGACGACCTCCAACTCAGACTTCATTTAGCATTTTATTTTTTATTTCTTTAAAGCATGTATGTTATATATGGAAACATCTATCCTTGTGTCTTATCTCCCTAACAGAATATAAGCTTATCTCTCTTCCATTACCTAGTACAGTGCTCTACCCACCATACTGGGTTTATAAAGATCTGGTCAAATAAATTGAATGGCTGCATCCAACAGCTAAGAGCCACACAGAAGACAGACAGAGAAGTATGAAAGAAAGCTAAGTATGTCTTTCTATATTTTTTTTTGTTCTCATACATCATTGCAATTTATATCTAGCAATCTGGGGTCAGGAACTCTATCAAATGTAGGACTCCCATTGAAGAAGGATCAAAATACAGAGGGATATTTCCAAGGGTATCCTGGGAAATGTTTATCAACCAGCTTTCCACGGGGAAAATGTATTCAGAAAACATTTTTAAGTTTAATCTGTTTTATTAATATTTTCTCTAACTCTTTATTAAGTCTAGACAATCAATAAAACAATAAAGATCTGGTCTGTAGCATCTGCTGATTTCTGAGATGTAAATGATCACACTGAAAATTCATTAATAGGCTCTACACTGGTAAGCTGCCTATAGCACCACTCCCACCCCCATATTTCCCTCTTTTTCAAACTCTACAATCACAGTGACCAGATATCACTGGCTCTCATTAAGACCTTCCCACAGTGGTTGTGGAGCCAGATTCAGAGGTAGATACTGCACAAGAAGCCTGTACAATGCTCAAGACCCCCACAAATGTAGATAGATTCCTTCAGGGTATCTGAATAATAGAAGAGTTTCTGGGATTTCATGGGAGCCCCCTGCCAGTTTTGTTTTGGTGGGGGTCAGAGGTGTATAATTTTCACTTACGCCAGAGAATCATGAAAGATCATTCTCTCTGTGTTTACGAACTATTCTACTCAAGGCCTACTCTGAAGCTATATTACAGTGTGCTTATGACCCTGATTTATCAAATGCTATTTCAGTAAAGTATAACTGTTGACAGGTCCAATCAAGAGGAACGTGGTTGAGTACTGGAGGACAGAAGTAAATGGATTATATTGAATAACACTTTAAAAAGTTATTTCTAGTCCAAGTATTGTAAATACTCAAATCAACTACAAAGGACCTATGAAAGAAGATGCTAACCACCTCCAGAGAAAGAACCAATAAATAGAGGTATGCATAGTATGGTTTTACATATCTAGGTATATGTGTATGTGTATCTATATGTGTGCATATATGCCACCATCTGACACAGATATACATGTAGGTAAAGATATATCTGTCAAATTGTGGCCTTCTCTAGGGCAAGGTGAGGAGGGAGGTAGACAGTTTGAATTTAAAATGTAACAAAAAAATAAAATTTTTAAAAAGTTATATTCAATTTGGGCAAGACAGTAATAATTCAACAAATATTTACTGAGCTTCTACTATGCACAAAGCACTGTGAAAGGCTGCTTATAGAGATACAAAGATGAAGATGCCATAGTCTCTGCCGTCAAGATGCTAATATTCATTATCAACATTAATAAGAATAATTGGCATTTATTCAGTGTTCTAAAATTTGTAAAGTGTTTTATATACATTATCTCATTTGGGCCTCAAAACAATTCTGAGAAGTAGATATAATAAGCATTATTGTGACCATTTCGCAGTTAAGGAAACTGAGGCTCAAAGAGATAGGATAATTTGTATCCGTGGCCACACAGCTAGTAAGTGTCAGCGATGGGACACCACATATTTGTATAGTACTTTACAATTCGTGAATGCTGTCACTTTTATTATCTCATTTATTTTTTATAGTGTATTTAATGTAAATTTACAAATTTAAAGGGACCTCTGAAAATATAACCAATGGCCTGTGAGCTGTGGACCTCACTCACATCACACATCACTGTAAATTCTACTGACACACTAAATTTCATAGACATTTATTCCAAATGACTGAATCTGTGTCCATGGGGGAAAGTTATCAGGTGCTGTATTGTAGCTACTGAATCTCTCCTGCCTTGAGCACCATTTCTTCTGCATACCCACTTTGGGCACATCTATCTTCTATTTCTTGTGGCCAATAGGGAGGGCAGAAAGAAGAAGGAAAGAGTGAGTAAAGGAAAAAATAACCAGCCATTCAGCAAACAGTCCAACTTTGGTCCCTCATGCCCAGTTCCCCTCCACCCCAACATCAAGATATCTTTTGCACAGTGTACCTGATATTCATCAACAACATCGCACCTGAGTAAATGATCTCAGTCCCGGAGCTGCAGGATCCTTGACTAGCTTCAATACACTATCCACCATGAACAGTTTCCCAGCATCAGAACGACTAAGGAGAGAAATTAGCACCAATTAGTGCATTTTCCATCAAATCTGGGATCTCATTTTCAAAATTCAAATTTCACAGGCCAGGAAGAGAACATACTTCCTGATTGTCATTGTTTGCCAAGACAACCAAATGGCATTTTTGGCATGTTTACTCCCAAAGCAATTTCATCATTGCTGATCCAAACGTAGTTTAGAAAATGAGTATAATACTTCATCTTTTGACATGAGCAAAGAAGTTATTATTACCATCCCAAAAACTGTTGGACTGACACTTTGTCTAGGGCACAAACATAATGTGCTCAGACCTTCTCTGGCCCTGGTGCTAATGGTTTGTCTTTGCACACAAATGGCGATGCCATGACTGAGACAGGACAAGTTTGAGGCCATGGGTAGGTACTACATTCTAAAGTGCTGGATCTGAGTTCACATCATGTAACTCCTGCGTCTAAATCCATGTCATATAACTCTGCTCCCTCAACATTTCCTGTACCTGGCCTGCCTCCATACCCCTGCTGAGGAAGTTCCTAGGGCCTGGAATAAATGCTGCTCCTTCTATCTTTGTCTGCTGAATTCCTACCCATCCTATAAAGTCCAACTCAAATGCCACCTTTCCCATGATTCCCTCTTGTTTGTAATGACCTTACACCCCCCAGGCTAATAACAATAATAAATAATAATAATAATTCACGCCTCTATGACTACCACTTTACATGCATTATCTCCTTCGATCACCTGTTTGGCATCTCTAATGCTCTTAGTATGTAATGTTACATAATATAGTTATTTGTGTACATGGCTTATCCCACTACTAGACTCTAAGCTTCATGAGGGCAGGGCCCATGGCTTATTGAGGTACCTACGTGGTCACAGTGGATAGAACATTGGGCCTGAAGTCAAGAGGACCTGAATTCAAATGTGACCTGGGACATTGCTATGGGACTAGCTATGGGACATTGGGCAAGTCACTCAACCTCTGTCTGCCTCAGTTTCCTCAACTGTAAAATGGGGATAATAGTAGCACCTATTTCCCAGGGTTTTGTGAGGATCAAATGAGATAATATTTACAAAGAGCCTGGCACATAGTAGACTCTTATTAATGCTTGCTCCCTTCCCATCTGAACTTTATACCTGCCCTTCTACTATTGTTTTTGCTCAGTCATTCAGTCATGTTGAACTCTTTGGGCTTTGCCCATGAGGCTTTCTCGGCAAATATACTGGAGTGGTTTGCCATTTACTTCCCCAGTATGTCCCCATATTACAGATGAGGAACTGAGGCAAATGGGGTTAAATGACTTTCCCAAAGTCACATGGCTACTGTCTGAGGCCAGATTTAAGCTCAGATCTCCCTGATTCCAGGCCAAGTGCTCTACCCACTTCACCCCCTAGCTGCCCCTACATCTACTATGATACTCTGCATTCTAAAGGCATTTAATAAAGAGTTGTCTTTTGCTTATTGTCTTGGCCAAATCCAGAACTTGTATTTTTGTAGTAAGCATTAGATTTTAGAACTCTCCATCCCTAGGGCAAAGTACCTGGGGGAAGAGATATTTTGTTCTTGCTTTTGTATTCCTAGTGCCTAGTACTTTGCCTAGCATGGGGTAGCTGGTGTAAAATGCTCGATGAATGCATGTAACAGCAGAAGACCTTCTCATCTTATGTTCACTTACAGTCAACATACCCATAACTCAAGGAGAAAAATGGAGGTGTCGTTATTGTATAAAGAAGCTCCCTATCATGAGATTCTGTATCCACAAAATGTAGATGCTTCTTAGTGAGATGAGCCACCTCTGTTTCCTTGACAACCAAATGCCGAATGACGCCAGGAATCTCTTTTGGGAGCTCGTCATCCACTGGAGTAATGTGTATCACCACTATCTGGAATGCAAAATGAAGAACTGGTTGTATTGGCAGAAACCTGAACACACATTCAGTGTCACAACCCATCTATAAGATATGGTCTTAGAAAATGATCTGAGGGTCAGAGAGGTTAAATGATTTAATCTTGATCATGTGCTAATAATCATAGGGGGGAGGAGGGATTTGGGGTGTGTGGGGTGGAAGTGTTGAACTCAATTCCATTTTCCAAGCCTCTGCCTTTCATGGTATTATGACAGTTAAATCTTTTCCAAAATAATTGTTGCACGTAATGAACTCTTTCTGGAACAGGAATCTAAACAAATATTTTTTTTCCTTCTACTTGATCGGATTGCTAAAGAATATATTTAGCAGAAATGTAAATATGTGGTCATTAGAGTTAATATTAAAGATAGCTACATGGTACCGCGAATAGAGCGCTGGGCTTGGAATCAGGAAGACTATCTTCCTGAGTTCAAATCTGGCCGCAGACACTTACTTGCTGTGCAATCCTGGGCAAATCACTTAATTCTATTTGCCTCAGTTTCCACATCTGTAAAATGAGCTGGAGAAGGAAATGGCAAACTACTCCAGTATCTATGCCAAGAAAACCCCAAATGGGGCCACCAAGAGTCAGACACAACCGAAAACAACTGAATAAAAGAAGTTATAACGGAGATGATAAATATATTTCTAGCATCTTCTACCAAATTTTATTTCCTGTTTTTTGTTTATGCAGCATATATATGGATGTATAAAATCTTTTAAAAATCTTTCCGTGCTTTCTTTTTATCCACTCTATTTTAACTACTTTTTTATCCATTCTATTTATCCTTTTTATCTACTCTGCTTTTGTTCTCTCCCACCTCTGTGCAGAAGCAAACCATCTCTTGTGCCCAAAACTTGCCCCCTGCCACTCATCTACGTTTATTGTTATTCTTTTTTTAAGACAACTCAATTGCTATGTGATTCATGGGGCTTGCTCTGATGCTTTCTGCTGAAAGTGGTCTTTCTCTTCTCAAACTTTGCACGAGCACTTTGTCAAGTCAACATGGCTTTATTAAATGCCTCCCACGTTCCCAGCACTGTGCGGAGCACGCTTTGCCCAGATCTTTACTTTGGCACTACAGCAATGTCCCTTACACCATGCTTATTTGTGTATATGTTCTATATTGCTTCCCCTCCATAGCTTGCTAGGGGGCTGGGACTGAGTCACTTTTCACTTTTGGATCCCCAGCACCAAGCATAAAGCATTGTTATAGTAAACAATTAAGAAATCTTTGTAGTATTTAATTGAAGGTAATTAAACATCTACACAATGGCAAATGGCAAAATCTATACTTTTTGTACCTTCCTATTGAAAGCATCAATAACATGTTGTAAATTCAGTATCATCATATAACATTATGGGAATTTTTTAATGTCTTGGATAGGTCGTCCTAATCTGTTCCTAGCTCATTTCATTCTTGACAGGTGAATTGCTTTCTCTAAGGTCATGCTCCTGTGACCAGGGGAGCCTGGATTCCAAACCAGATCTCTAAAACCAGTGCTCTTTCCAATACATAGTCCTATTGTTTAAAAAACACTTTTCACAAAGCAACTCTATTGTTTTAAAATTGAGATATATTTTGTGGGTTTGATTCCTATTTTGACAGATTAGGAATTAGGTTAACCTTTTTGTAGATGCCAATTTTGACTTGGTTTCCAGTGGCAATGTTTAGAATATTCAGCAGAAAAGAGTGAGGCTCCCCTCACAAATCCGCTTCACAGCTATAATTTGGGTGGTTCTACCTATCAGTTTATACCCTGATTATACTTAGGTAGGCTTGCTTACTTACTGTCCCCATCCCAATCCTTCCTAAGGAGAACCTTATCAATTCAGGTCTCCCTTAAAACATCAAGTTCTGGATGTGAGACCTTGACCTTGGGTCAATCTCGAGGTGACTCTGGTTGTACCTTCTACAAAGCCTGACTTCAAGTAAACCAGCTGAGTTGCTGAAGGTCAAGAAAGTCAACTGAAAAAAAGTATTATATTGTTCAATGATTAGGAGGCAACCTGGCATAATGGACAGAGAGCCAGACTCAGAATCAGGAAAATCTGGATTCAAGTCTAAACTCTAATAAATATAATCTCACATCAGCAGTGGGGGACATTGGGAAGTGTAGTTTTTCCCGTTTGTGAAAGGCAAGTTAGGCATCCCCTTTCTCCCCTTTTCTCTTTCCTCCACACCTTGTTTTTGCTATCTTCTATTGCTGATGATGATTCATCTGCCTGATTCTTTTTTTTAAAAAATAAATAAATTTGTTACCTTTGTACACAGGTATGACATTGATGAGGTAGAAAAGAGTGCTTGAGGTAGATGGAGCAAGCAGCATGCGTGAGATAGGAGATAGGATGCAGGATGTGAGCAGCCAGAAAAGTGATCAAAGAAGACTATGCATTGAAGCCCCCACCGTGGACTTATCTGTGTACTTTCACAAAGCACCTACAATTCCAGAACAATTCTTCCCCTCCCCTTGCCTATTCTCTTTGCTTATCATCTCCAGACTACCTGATATCCCAGGCATTTTGGAGTCATGCTTGCTCCTCCAATTCTCTTGACCCCTTCCCCCATTCCATAAAATTGTATTTAAACCATACCTTTGACCTGGCCAACTGCCTTTGCCTCCTGCGGGAAGCAGGGCCTGCAGTCTATGTTCTGTCTCCCAAGTGGAGTGGAGCCCAGTGGGCTCGGCCTCACGGGGAACAGACCCACTTGGGTGTATCACCCCAATAAATGCCTTTCTTCAACATGGAGATTGTCCAAGTGAATTCTTTCAGGACACTAGGTGTTTCAGGTAGCACTCCAATATTCTTGGGGTCCATCCTCAACCCATCACCAGTGGCTACAGAGAAGGTCTAAGTGAATTCTTTCACACCTGAACCAGCTCTTCCAACTCTAACCTCAACAACATTACTTGATATCAGAGTATTCATGAGGTAGAGCCTGGAGGTTGGGGTTTTTTTTTTTTGTTTTTTTTGGGGGGGAGGGTTTTTTTTTTAATTTCACAGACTATTCCAGGACCCTGAAATTCTAAAGTGGGAGGTTAAAAAACCTCTCTGTGAGAAATAAAGTCATGGTTTAGTTTTTTGAATGACCTTATAAATCCCAAAGCAGAATCTTAAAACTTGACCTTAGAGCTCACTTAGATTTCCCTTGGACCAATGAGGCAATGGAAACCCTGGTGCTACAGACGAGGTGACAATGCCAGAGACCAGACTCTATTTTTTTAAACCTGAAGTGAGAGGGGAATCAGGAGGGGCTAGGCTCCTCATACTTCACACTAGCTATGTGACCCTGGATGAGCCACTTAACCTCTAAGTGCTCCAAACAACTTCTTGAGACTATAACTTGCCGAGCAAGCACTTCTGCTTTGGAGAAAGAAGTGTCCTTACTTGGGGTTTCTTATACCAACGAAATCACAGGTCTCAATAAAACATGGGGATGGTGGTGGCAATGGGGATGATATGGTAATGTGAGATTAGGTGTTTTCAGTGGATCCATGATCTTAACTGTGTGCATACTCCTTCCAAAGTACAGACCGCTATACATTCATGCCTTCTCCTTCTGTGCAGTTATTTTCTAAGCCCTTCCATAAATCCACCAGAGGATCTACCTAACACATGCTAGAAAACTTCCTCCAAGTCTTTTGGTATTATATGGCTACCAAGGCAGCCTGAAGATGTCCATTTGTGACCCCTTTCTCATCCTTCATGACCTGTCCACCTTCTTTTCTGACCAGACATTTCCTAGCTCAGAGTTGTGTACACTACTTCTTGCACCCAAGTCACCATTGCTAATATGTTACAGGCTATTTATACCTAACAGGCATCTTTCCAATGACCTTTTGGGAGCCTACAATTTTGACTCTTTGGAAATTATAGGATTCAACAATTATATATAAATATATACATGTATGTATATATTTATCATAAACTATGATGTGATATAATATATATTTAAGAAAAGAGAGAAAAAATTAACAATGCAATTCATAAATTTGTTTTATTGGTATATCTACTCTTTAGTCTCCAGGAACTTTGATGAAGACATTTGCTTTCCAATCAGAACAAAGGCACTGTGATAAACTTAGCTCATCTTTCTTCACCTTTTGCCCTCCCTGCTTCCTGCTTAATTTCCATAGAATCGGGTGCTAAATTTAATTGTTCTGGGACATAATTCCTTATATCCAGATACAAACTATAGAAACATAATGGATTATTGATTGTAGAATTTCACAGAATTTCACTGTAACCAGAGCTACAAAGCATGGCTACTTTGGCACATTAGCTAGGAATTATAGATGTTAGGTACAATTAACCTTTCATTGTAATGGCATTCTCTGTTGAGAGATGAGCTTCAACCTTAGTATGTTTAAACATGTATAAAATATGACCTATCCCATTTGTAACAGTGGAATGGGAATAGGTGAATGTCTTGAGTTTTCCATTTTAGAAAAAGTTTATAATATGTTTAAAAAGAAAAGATTCTGGTCCTCTACATGGGAACAGAATTCAAGACTACATCTACACCATTACTTCTATGTAAACGCAACATGAGAATTAGTGATAATCCCATTAAACCCTGTTAAGCCTGGTATCTCTTTCCCTAAATATTTACTTTTCTTACTGTCCAGCTAACTGGGGTCTCTATCATTGATCTAAACCAGAACTCCTAAATAAAATGTTAGCAAGATAGAGGATAAAGGGATGTAATAAATAGAAGAGGTAACTTGCTACTAAGCAGATAAACTGAATGTTTTCCCACTCATTTCTGACTCTCTCACATTCCAAACCATTGTAACTTTTACATTTTTCAAAAACTACTTCCTCCTGTTTTTTGGTCACTTGACATTTAGCCCTCTTTTTAAAACCATAGGATCATAAATTCTGAATGGGTAAGGGACCTCAGAGGTCCAACTCCATTATTATTTTTAGTATATTATGTTATATATGTATATTATATACTATGTAATATAAATTATATTATAATTCTATTATATATAATTTGGTCCAACTCCATTATTGCCCAGAAAGAGAGAAATGAAAAAAAAAATTAACCAAGGTCACAGAGAAAGTAAATGGCAGACTCGGAATTTGATCCTCGCGCTAGATCCCGAGATCTAGTGTTTTTTCTAGTAATCAGGGCAGTCTCAAGAATCAATATTCTTACTTTTATCCATTTCTCATTTCTGAGAGTCAATAGGCTATTCACTTAGGTCCGATTGGAGCTACTTTAAGCGTATGCAATATGTTCTTCTAATCTTTATTCTTACTTCTAATTTGGCAATGAGTTTGATTTTTGCTCTGGTTGATGGTGGGCAGCTAGGTGGTACAGTGGATAGAGAGCACTAGGCTTGGAATCCAGAAGATTCATCTTCATGAGTTCAAATCCAGCCTCAGACATTTACTAGCTGTATGACCCTGAGTAAGTCACTTAACCCTGTTTGTCTCAGTTTCTTCATCTGTAAAATGAGCTGGAGAAGGGAATGGCAAACCACTCAAGCATCTTTGCTAAGAAAACCCCAAACACAGTCATGAAGAGTTGGAAACAATAACTGGTTGATAATGTATAGGGCCAAAGATAGCTTATTCAGGAATAATTCCCCTCTAAGCAACTGTTCATTTCTTTTCGGCCTATGATTAATACTCAGTATATCTCTGGTTGAGGAATGTATTTATGATATCAAACATGAAGCTTCTGAATTGGTTACAAGTCTTTGGCTTCTTTCATTTTTTTTGTTACATTCTTTATATATGTATACATATATCTATTTCAACATATTTTTCACTCTCCTCCCCTGGGCCCACCTTTGTATTGAAGGCACCAAATCTTGCTTTGACAGATTATGTCAAGATCTTCATAGAAGCTCTGTACTTTTTCAATTTCAATTCAATACAATAAACATTTAAATGCTTCCTAGGTACAGTGCCTAAGAAGTAGAGATACAAAGGCAAAAATTAAACAGTTCCTGACTTCAGAGAGTTTACATTCTACAGAGACAGCCCTCCTTAATCTTAATGTCTTCCTTTGGAAATCACTTAGCAATCTAACTATATTTATCTTGCTGGTACATAGCTGTTTGACTATTATCTTCCCCATTATTAGACCGTGATCTCTGTGACAGCACAGACTGTTTTTTGCTTTGTTACAGGAGTTTTTAGTTTCCTTTTATTATTAGGTACTCAGGACCATTGCTCCTCCAAATTTTGGTTAACTAAAAGTCTGTGTTAATATTAACCTCGCCTGACCAAAACCTTTCCCATGGGATGTGAAATTTTACTTCAGAGCCTTTAAACACTCCTTAGATAAGAAGCCAGAGGAAGAATCTCAACCGTCCCTGACTCCTTGGCAGAATGTAAATCCTCCTTCTCAATCACTCCTATTTGTGAAACCTCTAAATGCATCTTAAGCTGTAATGTGACTTAGTTTACCTAAAGAGTTTGTTTGATGAGATTAGGGAATGTATAAGATTATGGCTCTGTTTAACTAAGTTTGTTCGATTTTTATGACATTGAAGGAAGCATGGGGTTATGGATCTATCTTCTCTTTAACTTTTATGGCCTAAGATGAATATACAAGATTAAAATATGTAAAAGAATCATTTGTCTGTCACTCTGCTATATTTTTGCCTATAAGAAGACTTGTAAGGGTCCTAATTGGGATTCAGGTTTTCTCTGAGGCCTGAACCTATGCTTGAGCATCATAACAAAAAAGTCCTATTTTTTTACCTCCATAATTTCTGTGTTGCGATAAATATATTTTAGGTAGCAGTTACCCACTACAGGCATTCAGAGAGGAGACATTTCTCCCATAACAATTTGTCTGTTTGCCTTTCTTTGTATTCCCAGAGCTTAGCACAGCACCTGGAATAAAGAAGGCACTTAATTTTGCTTTGTTTGGTTTTTTGGTTTTTTTCTTGATAATTAATTAATTTTTAGTTTTCAACATTCACTTCCATAAGATTTTGTGTTTAAAATTTTCTCACCCTCCCACTCTTCTCCCCGCTCAAGACAGCATGCAATCTGATATAGGCTCTACTTATACATTCCTATTGAAGCATATTTTCCCATTAGTCATGATGTAAAAAACAATTAGAACTAATGGGAAGAACCATGAGAATAAAGCAATAAAACAAAACAACAAAGGAAAAAGAGAGCAAATAGTATGCTTCTATCTGCATTCAGACTCCATATTTCCTTCTCTGGATGTGGATAGCAATTTCCATCATGAGTCTTTTGGAGTTGTCTTAGATTCTTGCATTGCTGCAAAAAGCCAAGTCTGAAAGTCAGTCATCGCACAATATGGCTGTTACAGAAAGCACTTAATTAATACAAAGTGACTGACTAGGTATCCTCAGATAAGTAAAAGTTAATCTGATGAAGGGACAAGCAGGGAAGAAGGTGGGATGAGGAAAGGCTTTACATAGGAGATGGCTCCTGAGCTGAGCCTTGAAGGAAGATAAATGTAACAGGAGTTGTATCTATGCCTCATCTGAAAGACAGTCTTCGTGTCTCAAGTTTACACCTAACCCCCTCCATCCCAACTGATGATGTCTCCGAGGGTGTGTATATCCATAAAGCTGAGGTTAGGAGGTTAGAAGGATAGGGAGGAGAAGGCCATCAATTCTCTGAGTACTGCAAATAGCTTGGCATTTCCCAGAAGCTCCTGGTATTGGGAGGAACCCATAACTGCCATGATGAACCTAGAACTTTTCAATGCCTGGTGCCTTCGGTGAACAAGATAAGGTTGGAGCAGCACTGCCACCCAGTGGTTAAATTAGTACTTGGAGCAGTAGCTAAGGAGGAAGTGCATTCCAGGCAAAGGAGATGGCCACCACGGAGGGAGTGGAATGAAATGTCAACTTCAAGAGGCAGTAGTTGACCAGTTTGGCCAAAACACAAAGTGTAGGAAGGGAAGTAATGTGAATAATACTGGGAAGGTAGGCTGGAAGCAGATTGTGAAGATTCTTAAATGCCAACTAAGGAGTTTCTTTTTAATCCTAGAGGTAATAGGGAGCTATTGAAAAAGCTGAGGGTTCACAAAATGTTAAAAGATGTAGAATGCCTCCATTGGGATAGGAAAGAGCCTTTATGGAAGATTTTTGGGAACACACAAAAAACAATCACACAGAATGAGAAACTGCGGATAAGTCGTAATCTGTACAGTTGGCAGCTATTAATGAAACGTTTCCCCTCTAAAGTTATCTTCTCCCTGCTCTGCACCCATTTCTTAGATATATCTGTAGACACGTAGTCTCCTACATTAAAACATAAGCATGAGTGCATGAGATGTTTTTGTTCTGCTTTGTACCCTGAGTGACTAGCCAAGTACTTGGGATATAGTAAGCACTTAATAAATGCTTGTTGGTTGGTTGATTGGTAAGAACATGAATCTATTGAAATGTTTAAGTATTAAATGTTTACTACGTTCAATTCTCTGTGCTAAGGGATGGGAGAGATTCAAAGATGAAAAACTACATAATTTCTGGCCTCTGTATATTTATTATCCAATAGAAGAGAGAAGTCATATCTACAAACAAGAATGACACAAGAAAGAATGTAAAATAAAGGCAAAGTGGTATAAGAAAAATGAAAAATCATAGGCAGGATATTGATGGGAAACTTGTGGCGGGTGCTGTGGTGGCCATCAAAATTAGAGATGGATGGGACTTCAGAAGCCATTTAGTTCAGTCCCTCCCCTAGCCAGAATCCCTTCTATCCATGGCCTCAAAGTGGCCATCCAGCCTTTGCTTGAAAATCTAGAGTGTGAGGGAAGTCACTCTCTCCTAAGGAAACCACTTTTGGACAGCCCAAATTGTTAGTTTTTTCTTACACCGAGCCAAAAATCTGTCTCTGCAAATCCTCCCCTAAAGAGAGAGCTCACTTACTTGATCACTGCTGGCAACATGTAACTTTCACAAACAAAAACTTAAACCTCAGAGCATATCCATTCACTCTTTTTGACCTGACTTCAATTTACTTCAATTACTAAGATTTTACAACTGTCACTTGAGAAAAGTTTGCTTAATAGATTTCCGTATTATATTTTAGTGATTTCCTCATAAGTTAATAATATTTTACTTGTTCAAAGAAGCTAATTGAACATCATCCATTCTTTTTAAAAAATAACAATATCTAGCATTTTTTCAAAGTGGTTTAAACCTATCATTTTTCAAGTGGTTTTTTTTTTATATAGTCATTTTCTCTTTTGAGCCTCACAATAACCTTGTGAAATACAGATTCCAAGTGTTATTATTCTCATTTTATAGATGGGGACACTGAAGCGGTTTTAGGTTAGGTGACTTGCTAGAAAGCGTCAGAAGTGGGTTTCAAACCCCCATGTTCCTGACCCCAGATACTACACTGTTACATCATGATACCTCCCCAGTAGCTCTTCAAAGAATGTTCCAAGAGGTCCTCTTACCTGTGGTTCAGAGAGGTTGGGAGGATCGCGGCTATCACACAGGACAAACTCAAAGGAATCCTCAAATATTTCTCCACCAAAGTGTTGATAGTAGATAATCCCATTAAAGAGATCTCTCTGAAGAAAACCAGGAACCGGATAGCCTGTTGGATCACAGAACACCACGTACTTCAGCAACACTCTGCCTCGCACCCTACGATAACCTACATGGCAATGCCTACTGAAAACCATGCACACTGACGGTGCTCAATAAATACTACAGTTAAATCTCACTGGTGCAGAATAATTACAGAAATAGTTGGGGTGAAGGAAGACAGGTAAGGTAGGATGGGGGGAAAAATCCAAATTGTAACTTAAAAAAAAAAAGAAATGTAATTTTTCTCATGGCTAATGTGTTGTTGCTGAGTAGAGATTCTGACTTACCCTCTTTAATAAATATAAGAATCATCGGTCATTAGCACATTAATGGTTCATGTAAATGAACCTTGCAAAAGTTCCTTTTTGTGTTTCTGAAAGCAATTTGCTTTCCTCCATAAGCTAAACATCCCTTCCCCCTTAATACTTTTAATACTATTAATTTCCTTGACCAACTATTTTTCCTTCCATAACAGAAAGTGCAAAAGCCCAGCCCAGGTCCAAATTAGGAAAAAAAAATTTGACTAAAGCATTGTAAATTAATGAGAGTTTATAAGAGAATATCTGAAAAAACAAATTCCATAATGATATGGGACTTTTTAAGAAACTTTGTTTTCAGTGAACATGGAAGAAACTGTCCAAGAAAAAAAAAAAAAGGGAAAAGGACATTTATCCCGCTACAGTTGTCTCCTGGTTTACCCATGAGTCCTGGCCCTGGCTTCTTTATGATTTCCCCAGCCTGGGAAGGTTTGGTGATATTAAAGAAAATGTAGTCATCACTGGAGTCCATATCAGAAGCTTTCAGCATGGAGCCTTGGATGAGCACTGTTTGCCCCTCGTCAAGTTCAATCCCAACATTTGTTACGAGGAGAGGAGGGCTGTCATCTTTAGGCAGGATATTGATGGGAAACTTGTGGCGGGTGCTGTGGTGGCCATCAAAAATCCTGAAGACCACAAAATCCTTGGTGGAGTCACTGTCATCGTGATGGTAGCGAACAGCCCCAGCCTGAATGTCAGCCACAGTGAAAATGAAGCCTTTCCCTCCTGGAAGAAAAGGAAGTGAAGGAACTGTTGAGATAAAAGTCTAAAGAAGCTACAGAAAAAACCACATGGCAATCAATGGCACTGAGAAAGTCAGAGCTGGACAGGACCTCAGAGACCACTGAATGCAACCTTCAGTGTCCAGATGAGAAAACTGAGGCCAAGAGAGGGCAAATGACTTGTCCAAGGTCATAGTAAGTTATAAGCAGACTCAAGATGGTAACTCAGGTTCTCTGCCTCAAGTTCAGGGCTCCCTCCTTGGTTATCATAACCAAGATGTTTCTAGGTGTAGTGGAATACACAGAAGCCCTCTTGTTTGTCATCTTTGGACGGTGAGACTAATGGCCCCCACGGGGACCCAGGCCAACAGGGGTCTAGCTGGGAATGGCAGGGCCTAGGGCTCACTCACTTCTCCTCCTGTAATGGAACTAAGAATGCTGGTTTGGATTCAAGCTGGACTCTCCTTTTGAAGGGTCATCAAGGAAAGTGACACAGCTAAAGCTGCCCCTACCAACTGAACTCAGGACATCATTTAATCATGGGTTGCCCTTCCTATTCATTTATGACTACTATAAAAATGGTACCATACTTTTGGACAGATCACTGGGAGCTCAATAAGGAGTGACCATGTTGCTTTCCATACATCTTGTAGTTATAACAACCACTGTATACACAAGAGTTATCTGTTATTCTCTGATCCCAACCCTTACATTAACCACACAGAAGTAGGACAATGGTTGTGGATAAGGCAAGGTAACATTGGAATAAGATCTGGAAGCTATTTCAGACCTTGTGTAGAACTAGATAAATCACTTTACTCTTGGACTTCCTACTTGAAAATGGCGACAAATCACAGTCTTCCTTCTGAATCTCCAATAAGGCACACTTGTCACGAGGGTAATTATGTTAAGCCCCTTGAACTCTTCAGAAGGAACACCACATAAAATCAAAAAGCATAGGATTTATTTTTTGTTATAATGAATATTGTTAATTACTGAATGACTGACTTTTCATCAATGAGGATAACAACCCCCTTAAGTTTATGAGTTGCCACAGCCAAAATAATTCACCATTGTGACCAAAAGTCACTTATCTCTCAATCTCGGTTTCCTCAGCTGTAAAATGGGGATATTAGGACCCACTTAACAGCATTACTGTGAAGATCAAATGAGATAATACATTTAATACATTTTGTAATCCTTAAAGCACTACATAAATGTTACGATTATTATTGGTATTAAGTGTATCAGATTTACCATTCCATATTTATTTACATTTTAGAAAAAACATTTACATTTTTATATACATTTATTTCACTTTAGAAATCTGGAATTTACCCATAAGAATGCTCTCTCTATATACGTTGTGAAAAACGTCCAACCTCCTCGTCAGGTAAATTTGTCGGCCTTCTTGTGATAAGTTTTGTTGACTATAACTAGGCTGGTTCTCAGACAGGTACACGTCCTAGTTCTACAGGAAAGGCCTTTCTAGTGTGTCAGAACCTGGCTATCGACGCCTGCTTTTTGAGAGCCCGGGTCCCCTCCGCAGCAACATGAACTACTGAAGAACTTGAGTGAAAAGAGTAATAATAGCTACGTCTTATAATGCTGTGGCCCATTCCATCTGAAGAACAATTAATAAGCATAATCAAATAACTGGGGCATCATGGAATAACGGATAGTGGAGGCTTAGAATCATGAAGGCCAGGGTTCAAATCCTGTCTGAAACTTCCTAGCTGTGTAACCTCTGTCAAACCACTTAACCTCTGGTAAGACTCAGTTAACTCCTTGGGACTTATCTAAGATAAGTAGGGAAAATGGGAAAATGGAAGAAGTTCCCATACCAGGAGTTTTCCAGGCTTAGGAAATCATAATTTTTCTTTGTATATTCATATAATAAAGTGAGCGTTCATTCCCTAGAAATTATTATTTTTAAATCACTGGAAATAATTTAAAAGGAACAACTGTTTCTTGGGGTAAGAATATGAGAGGGAAATATTTTGTTTGACAAATGAGCAATTATAGCCTATCAGGAAAAATACATAACTAGGAAAGTTGTAAGAAAATGTTACTCAAAATATAGGCTAAAAACCAAACCAAAACAACCAAAAAAGATTCCATTAATGAGACAGATAGGGGTAACTAGGTAACAAAACAGATAGAATGCCAAGCCTGAAGTCAAGAAGTCTCATCTTCCTGAGTTCAAATCTGGCCTCAGACACTTACTAGCTGTATGACCCTGGGCAAGTCATTTAACCCTATTTGCTTCAGTTTCCTCATCTGTAAAATGAGCTGGAGAAGGAAATGGCAAACTATTCCAAGTATCTTTGCCAAGAAAACCCCAAATGGGGTCATGAAGAATCAGACAGGACTGAAATGACTGAACAACAACAGTGGACTCCAGACGAGTCACTTAAATTCTTAATGCGCCAGGCGATTCTCAAGGACTATAGATTGCAGAGCCGTTGCTGATCTGCATGAGTTGAGGATTTCCTTAGCAGGAGCAGTCTACCACAAAGAAATCACAGGTTGGTTCCTCTAAATGTTATTACCATAAGCGTATTCTCAGCACAGCACTCATTCATAGTTTGAACATGGTAGATCATTCAATAAATGTTTTGGGAATTAGACTGAGGCAAAGAATAATGGTCTGCTTACCTCTTACAGTGAGTCGCCCATGCTGTAAGCCATCAACAGTGACCAGGCGGACAGCACCGATGTCATCATTGTCTACTATCTGAAACTGCTCCCAGGTGATGGGCCTTGACTGTCCCTCCAGAAGACTGAGACCTGCAAGGAAAGAGCTTCTGAAAATTCTGTGCAGTGTCAATACATGTATTTTAACAGAGTTATGAGAGAGGGGGCAGCAAGGTGGCTCAGTGGATAGAGCACCGGCCCTGAAGTCAGGAGGACCCGAGTTCAACTCCAGCCTCAGACACTTGACACTTACTAGCTGAGTGACCGTGGGCAAGTCACTTACCCCAATTGCCTAGCCAAAAAAAAAAAAAGAGAGAGAGTCATAAGAATAGAAAACTAGGAGATTATCCTTACAGGACTATCTGCAAATAGACATTTTGAAAACATTTTAAGGTACTGTGGATCCATTTTCCTTTCAAAAATATGTATTGCATTTTAGTTGTTTGTCAAATCATATCCTTAAGACAGATTCTTCAAAGGGAAAATAGAGGCAGAAAGCAATGAGCAAATGTGTTCACAGGGACTGCTATTCTGATGATCTTTTCTAAGATCCTGGAACAATTAGAATTGGAACTCAAATAGAACCTTGGAAATCATCTAGCACTTCAGTGTTGGTTTACAGATGAGGAAACTGAGGCACAGAAAGGGGAAAAGACTTGTCCACAGAGGTATAAAGTAGCTGGCCGAGGCAGTTCTATCGCCCAAGGCATTGTTATTTCGATTAAGAATAGATACCTCCGGTCTAATCTCGCAAGCATGTATTAAGTGTCTTCCACGTGCAAAACTCCCTGTCAAGAGCAAGGAGCACAGTGAAAATCAAAACCAAAAATAGAGTCCCTGCCTGCCCACATGGAGCAACTTACATTTCACTGGGGTTGGGGGTGGTAGATGGAGGAGAGGAGGAAGCGAAGCACGGATCATGCCTAAGTACTGGCAGAGAAAGCAGTGACAACTAGAGGCTTCAAGAAGGTTATTTCCATAGGACTAAGCCTTGAATACAATGAAGGATTCTAAGGGGCAGATGTTAGGAAGGCATGCATTCTAGGTATTGCTGACCGCCTGGTCAAAGGTACAGTAAGCAGGAGATGTTTGGGGGAACAAATCTGGGAAACAGCAAGTCGGCCAATTTGACTGGAAAAATTAGCTCATGAAGAGATGTGCGATAAACCTGGAAAGGTTGAGCCAAAATTGTGAAGCGCTGTGAAGGACAAACTAAAGAGCTGTTCAATTTATATTAGGGAATAGGAAGAGAATAAGCATTTATATGGAGCCTAACCTATGGCCAAGCACTTTGTTAAGCGCTTTTATAAATATTATCTCATTTGATCCTCACAATAACCCTGGGAGGTAGATGCTATTATTATCCTATTTTACTGTTGAAGAAACTGGGGTAGAGGTTAAGCAACTTGCCCAGGGTTACATAGCTAGTAAGTGTCTGAGGCCAGATTCTTGAACTCAGGTCTTCCTGCTTGCTATACAGATGGTGTCTGAATACAAATTGAAAGCATATATTTTTTTTTACTTTCTTTATTTTTCTTGAATTTTTTTGTCTATGTTATCTTTCACAACATGACTTTTATGGATATGTTTTGTATGACTATACATGTATAACCTATATCAAACTGCTTGCCTTCTCAATAGGGAGAGGGGCAGGAGGAAGGAAGAGAATTTGGAATTCAAAGTTTTAAAAATTATTGTTAAAAATTGTTTTTATAAGTAACTGGAGAAAAATTCTAAATAAAAAAGTAAAAAAATATGCTGCTAATCTTTAATGAGGAAAGTTCTCTGAAAAGCATTAGAGAAATGTGGGTTGGTATTCATAATAATATTAAGATCCTGCTCAAGCAATTTGGGGCAGTTAGGTAGTCCAGTGGATAAAGTCCTGGGCATGGAGCAAGGAAGACTCATTTTCCTGAATTCAAATCTGGTCTCAACACAAACTAGCTATGTGACCCTGGGCAAGTCACTTAACCCTGTTTGCCTCACTTTCCTCATTTGTAAAATGAGCTGGAGAAGAAAACGGCAAACCACTCTGGTATCTTTGACAAGAAAACCCCAACTGGGGTCACGAAGAGTTGGGCATGACTGAAATGAATAAACAACAAACAAGAAATCTGAGCCATAGAACCTTATTTAGCTCAGGAATGAATATTGACAATCTTTCCTTTCTAGGAAGTTCTTAAGCATAGAAGAGAAACATCATCTTCACGTCACTGAAAAATTTAACTCACCTGTGGTGGTAGTAAAGAGAGAATCTAGTCAGAAGGAAAAGGGCTTGGGTTCTAATAGCTGGCATTTCCATAGAACTTTAAGGTTTACAAATAACTGTGGATGCCTTAGCCTATCTGAACCTCAGAGCAGCCCTATGAGCAAGGGATTGGACAAAGATCTTTACCCTCATTTTATAGATGATGAAACTGAGCTTCAAAGGCTCTGGTCTCTTCTATCACTGTGTGAACTTGAATCTTGTTTATTAAGAGTAATGTTAATTATCAATAATCCTAATAACAAAAACTATAATGACATGACTCATGATTATACAAAACATCCACTTTAAGGAGCCTAAAAGACTTAACTCTTTGGTTATAGGTTGAACTAGATAACCTCTGAGTTCTCTTCTAATTTGGGGGTGCTATGATTCTATGAATCCAACATCTTCGGGCTTCAGCTGTAAAATGATGATCATAGATTTAGAGCTGGGAGGGACTTTAGGGACCATCAAGTTCAACCCCCTCATGGGGAAACTGAGGCAGAGAGGTTAAGGGGCTACCCAACTAGTAAGTGTCTGAGGGGTGATCTGAACCTAGGTCTTCCTGACTCCAAGTCTAGCATTCTATCCATTACTTCATATTACCTGGATGAAATGATTTCTTATGATCCCTTCCAGCTTTAAAATGCAAGTTCCCAGGAACCCCTTAGTATGTCTTAGAGTATAATTTACACAGTGAACAATATTGAACCTCACCCATGTTCCACGACACGCGAGGAGCATTTGTGTCTGCTGTTCTGACAGAGATGTGGACTGTGATTGGTAAACTTTTTTCAAAGAAGAAGTCGTATACTTCAAACTCCACCTGTTAAACATAGAGAGACCCATTTGCAGCACTCATTGACAAGAAGCCATATAAAACAGGGCATGTGCTAGAAGGAAAATGAAACTAAGTCCAGGCTGTTCCCTGCCTAAAGCCAGAGTATCACGACTGCCATTCAATTTAATTCAATGAGAACTTACTAAGCACCTACTATATGCAAAACATTATGCCAAGCATCAGGGCTACAAAGATGGTGGTTTAATAGTCCCTATCCTCAAGGATTTTACATTCAACTGGGGAGGGGGAGACACACACATAATATTTACAGAGATAAATTAATAGAAAGTATATACAGCATAATTTGGTAGAAAAAGTACACTAACAAGAGGAATCAGGAAAGCCTAAGGTCCCATGTAAGGTGACACTTAAATTTAGCCTTCAAGGGAGTAAGAAATTCCAAGAGTTGAAGATAGAGAGGATACACATTCAAAACTAGGGGTTCTTAACCTGGAATGTACAGATTGGTTCATGGATATATTTCAGGAGATCTTGGATGGGAAAGAATACATCTTTATTTTCACATGGCTTTGATTTTCTTTAAGTTCTTGTATTTTAAAATATATTTAAAATAGCAGCTCCTTTAGTGGTGGCAAAGAATTGGAAACTGAGGGGATGCCCATCAACTGGGAAATGGCTGAACAAGTTGTGATATATGATTGTGATGGAATATTGTTGTGCTAGAGGAAATGACAAGCAGCATGCTTTCAGAAAAACATGGAAGACTTATATGAACTGATCCAAAGTGAAGTAAGCAGAACCAGGTGAATACTGTACACAGTAACAGCAATATTGTAAGGATAATCAACTTCGAAAGACTTAGCTACACTGTTGAAGACAAAAACAATTCCAAAACACCCATGATGAAAAATGTTATCCACTTCCAGAGAGACAACTGATAAATTCTGAGTGCAAACTGAAGGATACTTTTTTCACTTTATTTTTCTTGCCTTTTTTCCAACATGGCTAATATGGAAATATGTTTCACATAGCTTCATATGTATAATTGACACATTGTTTGCCTTCTCAATGAGTGGAGAAAAGGAGAAAATTGAGAACTCAATTTTTTAAATATTAAAAATAAAATAATAAAAATTTTTTAAATGCATTTAAAAACATCCTGAGAAAAGATCTTCATCAGATTGTTAAAGGGGTCCATAAAACAAAAAAAGTTAAGAATCCCTGCTCTATGTCCATGATCTTAAACTCAAATTGCATATTTAGTTTAAGTTCATACCATTGATATTGTTGTACTATTACCATCTCAATGTTTCTCTTCACAAAAATGTATAATTTAATGAACTATTTATCTGACCAAGGGGATGAAGGCCTTTTCAGAGCAACTAGCAATTATTTTGAGGCTTGGGTTTGAGATTACCACAAGCAATTCTCACTTCAAGAGCAAAACAGAAGACATCACTAATGAAAGAAGTAATAAACATGGAATACAAGTTCTATATTGGAAAGAGCATTGGTTTAGAAACATAATGCTTGGGTTCACACCTGGACTCTGTCCTTTTATTACCTATGTGAACTAAGGTAATTAACTTCATTTTTCTTGGTTCTGTTTTCCTCCTATGTTAGACTAACTGATTTGTAAGGTAGCCCTTTCCATTCAGGGTAGAATGGAAACTTAGGTAGACAAAGATAAAAGTAACACAATAACTCTTGATTCTATAAACCACTGGTCCAAATAATAAATAACTATAGATAATCCAGTTGGCATCAGGACCATTGCAAAGCTTCTTTTAGAAGCCTTGCCCAAACCAGCTGGGCCCCAAACCCACAGGCAATCATGGTTTCCAGGCCGCATACAGCTCATAAGATCATAGTCTTAAGGCTGGAAAGAAACTTAGCTTCACCTATTTCAACCCAGTCATTTTAGAGATGGAGAAACTGAGGCCTAAAGAGGTTAACTGACTTGCTCAAATTAGTAACTACACCCAATAGTAAAATCACCTGAAGTTTGGATTATCTTTATTCAAATAAAAGAGATAATTATCGGTGCACTGTGTGCAAGCATGTGTGCGATACAGAATTCTCTTACTGATCTATAAACTCCACAAAGGCAAGATTGTGTCTTATCTATACTCAATCCCGCTCTACCACTGAATACAGTACTTTATTAACAGGAGGTGTTTAAATAAATGAATAAGCTGACAGTTCTTGTTATAGTAGTCACATTTCCCACACCCTCAGTTTCAAGGTCCATTTGGTATTTCCAAAGCCAAAATACCTGCACAGTAACCCTCTAAATAGTAGCATGGCTGGATCTGTAGCTGGAGGTAAATCTGTGTCAATAATTTGAAAATTACTCCATCACAGGAAGTTTTGAGAGGCAAGGTCATCAAAAGAATAACTGGGGCTTTCACAGTTGAGAGAGGGAAATGAAAGCAAAGGGTCAAACCAAGTATTTACAGCCTTAAAAGTCTTTCTATCCTTGAGAGCGAGTATGGAAAAAATGCTTAAATTACATGGAAGGCAATTTGCTAACCCTGGGGACATTCATTTTCTACAATAAACCTTAACAACAGCAATTTAAACTTTTCACCATGTTTTCACCAACTTCCTGGTAGGTCTTGAGGTAAGTAAGACACTATTATATGGGAGACTGTAGCCAGCTATTCTCCAGAAAAAATTAGAGGAAATGAGCTTAAATTGCAGTCAGGGGGGCTTTAGATTAGACAGGAAGAATCTCCTGACAGATGAGTCTATTCAGTATTAGAGTGAGTTTCCAAGTGAGTTTTGAGAAACTTCTTCCTTGAAAGCATCTTCATAAACTTCAATTTGGGGAGCCCAAGGGAAAAAAAAGCTACATAAATATCCATTTACTTTCCATAAACCATAGAATTCTTCAGAAGAAAGGGTCTGCCTTCATTCTTAGCAACTCTTCCACCCATAATAATCCACGGGCCACTTGGACAGATCTATGCCTATGTCTGGATTCTCATCTACTAAATAAAATTTACATGAAAGCTGTTTGACAGCTAGGGAAAGTAGTGATGAACTGAACGGCTGCTTAAAGTCTTTAATAAGTTCAATAAGCTCTGAGCATTGTTTCCACCCAAGTTACCTCATAATTTCTCCTCTCGATGTGGCTGCTATTGGGAGGCTGATAGGCAATCTGCATGTCACTTAGATCTTTCCAGGTGAATGAGGAGATCTCTTTGGTGTGATCCAGCAGGTGGGTGAAGTACCCCTGGAGAGGGGGCTTGGTGATGTTGAACACCAGCAAAGATTTGGGTGTCTCATCATCTTCACAGTCCACAGTAGAGGTGGTGATGGAGCTCAGGATGAATTGATCCACCTCCAGAATGTAGGTGGGCATGAATGCAGCCCTGGGGATCTGATTGGGAAAGGCTGCTTTGATGGAGACAGGCAGCCACACACTCTCTGACTTTGGGAGGGGAAAAGACCATATTAGAAAATGAATAAACAAATAAAAACCCCATGCACTGCACCCTCGGCCGACCTTAACTAGCACAGTTAGTAACGCCCTCGTCCCAATATCACAGTAGCCTAGATTTAGAGCCAGAGAGCAACCCCAGCCCTGAAAGGCCTTTACCTCAATTCCTCTCATTTTTTTACATATGAAGAAACTGAGGCCCAAAGGAACAAACAGACTTGCCCATGGCCACACAAAAACTAATTTAAACATGGCTCCTTTGATTAGAAATCCAGTGCTCTTTCCATAGTACCACATGGGCTCTCTATTTCTCATTGTAAACTCAAGTACCTTGAACAGAGTAGGCATTTAACAAATGTGTATTGAATTGAAAGTATTCAATTACCTTATTTTCCAGAGACCAAACCACCTCTTTATCAAAAAATTAAAATTAAAAAAAATTCACCAGTCATTAACACACAATTCGATACATAATTTTTTTTTCATTTATTTACTTATTTATAAGGACAAACACAAGTACAATGTGCAGATTCTGTAAACTGGTCGGTAGGCAATGGAGAGCGTCCAAGCAGCATGGTATACAGTAGATAGAGTTCTACACTGAGAATCAGGAATACCTGACTTCACAAATGGTTAACCTCCCACAATTGTAATGAAGCTCAAAGGAGAAAAAGTATATAAAGTACTTTGAAAATTGCCAAGTGCTGTAGAAAAGTCAGTTATTATTTTCCACTGAGGTATAGAATCCTTCCAAAGTATAAGCCATTTTATGTAGGCATCTAGGTAGCACAGTGAGTAGACTGCCAGGCCTGGAATCCTGAAAATCCAAGTTTAAATCCAACCTCAGACACCCACTAGCTGTGTGACCTAGGACAAATAATTTAACCTCTATTTGTCTCAGTTTCCTCATCTGTAAAATGGGGATAATAACAGCGTCTACTTCCCAGGGTTGTTGTGAGGATCAAAGGAGATAATCGTTGTAAAGCAGTCAGCAGAGTGCCTGGCACATAGTAAGTGCTATATAAATGTTATCTATTATGATTATGATTATTTGGAAGTACACAAAACTGTGACTCAGGAGACTTGAATTCTAGATACCGCTCTACTGCAAATTAATTATAATGACCTTGGGTAAATCATTTACTTTCTCTCAGTCTCAGCTTCCCCTTCTTTAAAAATGAGATTAGGTGGTGCAGTGGATAAAGCATTGGCCTTTGAGTCAAGAGGACCTGAGTTCAAATCCAGCCTTGGACACTTTATGGGAAAATCACTTCACCCCAATTGCCTCCGTGTGTGTGTGTGTGTGTGTGTGTGTGTGTGTGTGTGTAAATGAGATTAGATTAGATAGCCTTTAAGGTTCCTCCCTACTTTAATAATGTCTGGTTCAAAGTATATTTTAACCATCATTACCGATAAGGTTACCACCAGAGTTGAGTTAGCTCTCTTGAGCAGGAGAAATGCCAGGGGATTGAAGAAGTCCAAACTAATTAGCTATTTTCCCCCCAAAACAACTATCTTATATTAAATACAGGCATGATCAGACTTTTGCAAAAACATCCCTTATCTATGATACAAGTAGAGTCTCAGATTAAGACTAAAACTGGATCAGAGGACACAAAGATTTAGAGTGAGAAGGAACCTTAGAGACTAACTGGTCTAATTTCTTCCCTTTGGGGAGGAAGAACAGAACCACCCATACAACATGAAATGACCACCAGTCTTTCAAACAATCCCAAAGCATATTCACGTTTTCGTCTCGGTTAGAAGACTAGAGAAGCTAGATGAGGAAAACAGCATTTTGAAACTAATGAGGGTTAGATAACCAATGGATGGCCTGTGTGCTCTACTGACATCCTCACGCTATCGAGGAAAAATGAGGAAGATCTTCAGCATCTTGAGTATATTCCCTTTGGCAAAATTATAGGAAGGCATGAGTAAAAATCGCTAGGCACAGATGGGCTGCAATCTCCAGAATGCATGAGTACCAAAGTATATTCTCTGACAATCTTTATCGGAAGAGACTAGGAAGAGAGATGGGTAGATTAACTTACAGGAAAAATCTGCTTGATGCCCTATCTCCTCGACATCCTACTCACTAAATCCCACATTTGGACAAAAGTAAAGTTTCTCTGCCTGCTTTAGAGCAAAACAATTTGTTTCTGATAGCAGTTTTGATGGAAGCTAGCTTTTCTCTATGTCCTATGAAGCTCATCCACTAGTTCTTATAACCTGTATAGAGGTTACAGATGGACAACAGGACTAAAAATGAACTGGAAGAGAATGGGCTAGATTTCCTTTGAGCTACTATATAGTTCTAACAGCCCCAAGATCCTCCCTGAAACAATATTTTTCCTATGACGCTGCATGGTTATGAGTTATAGAAATCCCCAAACAATTAGAGATGAAGATCAACCAGTAGGAAATGTAGAGATGCAGATGGGGTGTGAGCAGGATACATGACACAATAAATAATTACACAGGAGAAATGAAATGGACAACATAAGGGAAACACATGACCAGAAGAAGAAATGGTCCACTATTCCCTGAGCCCCAGTTTCCTCATCTGAAAAATAAGGGAACTGGACTGATGGCCTCTGAAATTCTTTCCAGCTCTCAGTCTATGATTCTATATATCAAAAGAAAAAAGAAACCAATAGTCAAGCAGCAGATTGCATTAGTATTCTCACAATTTCAGGAGAACGTAAGGAAGGCCCCCAGAATGTGGGATGGATAGCCCAAGGTAAACTCATAGGAGGACAGACAACATTTACACAAGACGGCCAGTCATGGATTGGTTTCGATCTGTATTGTTAGAAGGAATATCCACATTGCTGGAGTAAATGCTACTACATAGGCTCATCCCAAGGAGAGTGTGGAACTTCAACTAACTCACACTGTATGGGCCCTTTACCCTTCACAACAGATAAAAGCTGATGGAATTGACTATCTAGGGCCATCTTAAAGAGGAAAAGAAGGCCTTGGCAAAGAACAAAATGTAGTCTGACAGGAGTACTTGTATAGGGGATAAAGATAACTCTATCGTCAAGTAGCCAGCTATAGTCCCACCTGAATTATCCAGGTGATAATATGTGGTGGGGCGGAGGGAAGGAGAGAAGCAGATGGAATAAGATGTGCTGATTGTATATGAGTTCCGTGAACCTTTTTTTTTTTTTTTTAAATCACTGTTAACACTGTCATCGTCTCTTCCTCAAGTATACCACCTCCTCGAGTCTTTGGGCGTTCCAACTACATACAACATGGGACCTCCCTAAGACCCAGAGTCCAAAGGTAAGCATCCCAACTTTATTTAACTGCTATAATTCCACCAGAAAATACACAGCCATAACCCTGAGTTCTACCTTGTATATGGATTTACTCCTGATATCAGTGAGGTCCAGCCTGATGGAGATATAATCGATGTTCGGAGAAGGGGGGTGCAAGTGCTGATATCGCAATCCCATTAGCAAAAACTCCTCACAGCTGACTTTGAGACTCTCAATCTTCTTCAACCCTGGGGCACAGCTGCCACTAGGGCACCGTTGATCTTTTCTGTATTCTAAAACAAACAGATAATGCATTAAAACTTTCCTTGATTAAAAATGCGAGAAAACAAAAGGCAACACATGACAAAGCCTCTCTCTCACGGATTCCATACCAACCCCCCTTCCACCAAACCTCCCACAATGATCATGTGTTCCCTTTTCATCAGACTTCATATCCATAGCAGAGTTGGTGGTTATCCTCAAAGGATGCAATTTACTGAAAAGTACAATCAATTGACCAGGCCACAAGGCTCTCATGAGCCTCTCTACGCCCTCAGGAAATGCAGTACCAGAAAACTAAATGAATTATGTGTTCTTTACCACTCAACCAGCACATCCCTATTCATCCCTGGCAAATGGGCCAGGGACTCATTTCAAAACAGCTTTTCTCAGAGGCTTCATGTGTGCCACACATGAAGGTCAGTGACCTCACAAGTTTAGTGAAAACAATATGATTAGTTATCCTTTGGCCAAAGTCTCTCACAGCTCATCAAGAAAGAGAATGTCAAATGTTCTCAAGGCATCAATGCAATCATTCACTAGCCACCAGGGATAAGCAATTATTTCCATTATCACAATGGGATAATTTAATTGTAGAAATAATCTCTCACCTACGTATTAAAAGAAACTAAAGGGAGTGAGGGTGAGATCAAACAATATGGATAAGTAGACAGATGTGATGGGACCAGGCTGGCAGCCCCAAAACTGCAGGCATAGCCTGCAGCCATCATCTGGAAAGTCAGAGAAGCCACATTTTCTTGTTGTGTCCCAGACACCCCTGCATTGCCCCCAGCTGTTCTGCAGGGCAGAAGGACTTGGAAACACCTTTAAAAAGTGTAATTGGGATGGGTTGCCAATCATAGCTCATTATGAATAAAAACAAAATCTAATCAAAGTTTAAATATAAAATATTTCTGCGTCTGAACAAATACGAAATAAAAAATACATCACTATCAAACTTTTTATAATCCCTAACTTTTATGCTGAATGTTGATTGAACAAATGAATTCACTATCAGGAACTGATTTTCTAACTTTTGTAATAAAGGAACCAGTCTGAATTTCTAGAAATCACAGTAAAGAATAAGTAAAACTGAATCAACAGGTAGCAGCTTACGCTACAAAAGAAGCCTCTCATAGATATTAGTTGTCATCTTTTCACCCTAACCCCTAACCCCAGTGGCTATAAGGGAATTAGAAGGAAATGTCAGGTGTCTTCCTGGCTCTGATCATTAGCACAGTGGTTCCAAGATAGCCCCTAGGTATTTGTGAGAGTTGAGAATGGTGAAGCATGGAGTATGAAATGTGGACAGAAGATGAGTTTGGGGCTTGGAAATATTATTGGTGGCATTAGAGATAGTGAATGAATAGGGTGGAATGTGACTGCAGAAGCCAAGAGAGAGTGAGGAATTAGTACTTATGCTTGTGGATGTCCTGGGACAGGTGGATTCCTGGCAATCTGTTGGTGACACTGGGTGAAAAGTAAGCTTTGGTACTGTGGGGTTAGGGAGTATGGAAACAAAGGCAAAGCTGTATTACATTTCACCAGTGCTCCAAAGCCAGAGTTTTAGTACATGTTAGATCTCCAGGTTTGAGGAAAAAAGCCTGGTTCACGTCAGGTGAGATGTTTGAACAGCACAATTCTGAGCCCTCAGTATTTCCTTTTTTTTGGAGAGGGGGTTTGCTAGGCAATGGGGTTAAGTGACTTGGCCAGGGACACACAGCTAGTGAATGTTACATGTCTGAGGTGGGATTTGAACTGAGGTCCTCCTGACTCCAGGGCCAGTGCTCTACCCATTGCGCCACCTAGCTCCCCCTCAATAGCTCCACAGAGGAAAGGAGCATGCTAGGAGATGGACGGGGTGGGCTGAGACGTGTAAGCGACCAGTACTGAGCATAAGAGGATGTGTGTGACTGAGCCCACATCACAGAGGGTTTTATTCACAAAGAATAATTCTCTAACGAGGGCTCTGCCTGAATTTTAATGTGACTTTTGTGGGGGGAGAAGAACAGAGGCGGGGGGAGAAAGAGAGAGAGAGAGAGAGAGCATATAAATGTTTTTTGTTTGTTTTAGTCAATGATCATCTCCTTTAAAAGCTTCTGTCAATGACTAAACATGGGCATGGAGGTGAACCTGAACTTTCGAAAGCTTATACCTTTGAGGCAGCTAGGTAGAGTACTGGATAGAATTCAGGGCCTTTCCCTCTTCCCCTCCCCTTCCCCCTCCCCCTCTCTAGACACGCAGGCGATCCTCCCACCCCATCTCATTACTGATCGGCACACGAGCTTTGAGCTCTTTTGTTTCTGAGCTGAGTTGCTTCCCCCTCCCCACCTGGTGGCCACTCCTGTTCCCGGGACTCACTATATTTATGACAAACTTCATGCAGACAACTGATCTGAGTAGTTGACTGTAGCCTCAGCTTGAGGTTTGCCAACCTCAACTTCCCTGGTACCTGAGATTTTAGATTTGTGCCACCCCACCCCCAGCTCCTTTCAGTCTTAATTAAGAGTAGAATGCATGAGGGCAGCTAGGTGGCACAGTGGATAAAGCACCAGCTCAGAGTCAAGAGGAACTGAGCGACCCTGAGTGATGCTATCAGACACTTGATACTAGCTGTGTGACCCTGGGCAAGTCACTTAACCCCTGATTGCCTCACCAAAAAAAAAAAAAAAAAAAAAAAGTAGAATGCATGCTTATCAAGGGCAGAGACAATTCCATTTTTCTCATATTCTCAGTGAATAGCATAGTGCCAGGCATATAGTAGGCAATTAAATGCAAATTAAATTTAATTGAACTACTGTTCATGAACCCTTTGCTCTAATCAATGGGTTATATCTACTCACAATCGCCTGAATAAAGTCTGTTTATTCCTAGCTCATGCTGTGCCCATGCCTGAAATAGCCTATCTTTCTCCCATCTATGCCTACTTTATCTATGCTTTAAGGTCTAGTATTCATCCGTTTACCTAAGTCAAGAAATATAAAGTAATATTAATAATAATATTTTAAAATGGCGTACGGGACTCGGGGAAAAAGCTGTGGGGCTGGTCTCCTCGCAGTTCGCTTTGTTGCGGCTCCACAATGACAATCTGACCATGGGCTGGTAGACCGGTTTCTAATGGAGAGAGCCTTACGGTGCATTCCAGATTCATCCTTCTCTCATAATCAAAACTGAGCACGTTCTTATCGATTTTTCTGGAGAGACCATAGAACTCAGGCACCTCCGGTGCCCTGGTGTTCATCTGGATGATGCTACAATCTGGCTCCAGGAGATAAACTCGAAGGATGAAAGTTTCAGTGAAGGTTTCAGTCTCTGTAAATCTGGATAAAGAAAGAGAGCAGAATTAGGATTGTTGATGCCTCATCCTGACTGTCAAATAGACTTTCAGTTGTTTCTTAGATTCAAGGCCAATTCTCATCCAAGGCACAAATTAGACTGGTTTTCTCTCCTCCCTACTCAACTCCAGCCTTCTTATGCTGCATCCCTTCCTTGGGAGGCAGGAGGATGGAGGGGAAAGTGTGATGGAGAACGAGAGGTATCTTTTTAGACAAGGTTACTATGAGAATTTATTTTGCTTGACTATGCATTTTTGTTTCAAGGATTCTATTTTATTTTTCCAAAGGGAGGGAAGATAGAAAGGAGGAGAGAAGAAAGGAAGGAAAGAGAGAGGGAAGGAAGGAAAGAAGGAAGAGAAAGTTAGATGTGGAGGAGAAAGACTTACATTCAAATCCTGTTCACTTTCTACCTGAGTGACCCTGAGCAAGTTAATTAACAGTTCTGTGCCTCAGTTTCCTCATCTGTAATAATAATAGATAAGATTTATTTTGTGCCTCGAGGTTTGAAAAGCACTTTATAAATATTATCTCATTTAATCCTCACAACCACACTGTAAATTAAGTGCTATCATTAATCCTGTTTTACAGATGAGGAAACTGAGGCTGAGACAGGCCAAATGACTTTCCCAGAATCACAAAACCAGTTAGTGTCTGAGGGCAAGATTTGAAGAATTCTGGAAGAAGTACAGGGTTAAACAGTTGAACCATATAAAACCCAAACTTGATGATCCAAATGTGTAACAGTGAAAGCTTTGACTATAGTCTCTATTTCAAGTTGGGATCCCAGAAGCCCACAAGCATTTTCCATGAAGGAAGCTCTTTGGCTCTGTCCCTTGGACCTTGCAGTTCCCCCTTCCTACTACCTTACAATAATCACCCACTGATCAAAGCTTATAATAGTTGGACAGAATGAAAATTGAGGCCAAAACAGTGTGGCTTACCTGTAGAGTCTAAACTTAACAGCATCTTCATCTAGGATTGGGCAACCATTATGAGTGTACTTTACTTCATTAGGAAGGAAATGACAGTCAAATACCTAGTGTATGGTGAATAAAGGATAAGTATGAGAAGCATGGCACCAAATTCTACTCTTTCAAGCTGCCCACTAATTGCCTAGAGAGATATGCGGGCTGATGCCTATTTAGTTTAACGGCCATGCATGAAGAGTTTACCCTCCATGCACCTGCGTAGACAGCTGTGCCATGCTCTAAGCATACCTGGCACATAAAAATTGAAACTTACCAAATGGATGCATTAGAGAGTGATTACATGCATCAACAAATGCTTGTTGGATTAGACTGGATCACAAAATTATTTTCATACTCCACTAGTGAATTGGAAATCTGATTCAATTTACAAAAATTTAATATACACACAATAAAAGCATTTACTTTACACCTGAGTACATACATGCACATGCAAACACCCTGTAAAAGTTATACCTGTTTATATACACTTCAAAATTTACACTAGCATATACACATATAAAGGGAAAGGGAAAGGGAAAGGGAAAAGGAAAGGAATATTTATTAAATGTGCCAGGCACTGTGCTAAGAGCTTGACAAATATTATCTCATTTAATTCTCACAACAGCCTTTGAAGTACATGCTATTACTACTCTCATTTTATAATTGAGGAAACCAGATTGATCTAGAGGTTAAGTGACTTGCCCAGGGTCACACAGATAGTTAAGTATCTGAGACTAGATTCAAACTCAGGTCTTCCTGACTCCAAGCCAGCTCTATCCAATGTGCCACATAGCTGCTTCCATTTACCTATGTATCTATCTGTACATCTATCTATCTATCTATCTATCCATATGTCTGTCTGTCTCTGTCTACCTATCTACATACATGTGTATATGTATATGTGTGTATGTATACACGCATACATATATATGCTTTTAACAAAGCATATTTTCTCTTTTTACAATGATTTTGTCAGTGAGATGCAGAAAGGCATATAAATGTACATATGCACATGCACATATATATGCATGTGTATGTACATACATATTTATACATAGGTATATACATATATTTGTACACTTATATGTATGTATGTATATATACACACAGACACATACATCATCACCATCCTTTGTATTGAAAGATGACGCCCCTGACAGAGGTAATGTGTATTTGTTTTTAGAACTTCCATTCTATATACATTTCCAAAAACTGCCTTTATTAACCCTCTCATAACAGATTATCATAGAAGAGAAGAGGAAGACCAGCAAAGAATTGCATTTAGTTAAAATTACACAAATTTCATTGCTGCAGTTTGACCACAGTAGGTGAAAAAATTGCTAATTATTTCCTTCAGGAACCTTATACTCTTTTTAAAAGGGTCTTCTCTAATCTTTAGCTCAGGTCTACTAGAGAAATGCTGTTTCAAGCATCTCATTTCTCAATGTTTGATATCTGGCTTTTGAGTTTGAAAGCTTACATTTACAAAATCTCAAATCTTGTCAGTCAATTCAATCCACTCTCAAGATAAGTTTATCACTAATAGAAGTGCTTTTCTTTTCCCAGAGACATCATCGGTTTCTCTTTTTAGTTGACAACAAGGAAAAAGATAAACAACAGGCCTTTCTCCATCTTACTGACAAATAGTCATTGTAAAAAAAGAGACAATCTGCTTTGTTAAAAGAAACATCTGTTTTATGTTTCCTAATATGTTTTCCTTTTATAAAAGGCGACAACCATAATTGTCTATAAATTTACTAACTAAAACAAAGGAGAGCTAAATCCTTTTCTAATTACTGTCTAGCTTTGTTTTTTTCCACTTCAACTGCTTTTCAATTACAATTTATAATTAAATTGTCACACATTCCTAACTCATTACTCACTTTAATGACAATGAACCAGTTCAAACTGGAGACACTTTCTCAATGTTGCATTTCCTGTTAGATATGGGGTTGGAGGTGCTTTGCCATTCCCAAAAAATATTCAACAAAACATTTCAACATATTTTTAAGCTCCTACTATGTGCTTGGGAATGCAAAGATGAATTTCGCATTTTTAACAAATGCAGGAAATTTTGTGAGAAAGCTAATTTCTAAAACAGGAAGATATGGAGTCCGGGAGTTTACCTGATTGAACATATCAAGGGACATCATTGAACAGAATGCACTTTGTGTGTGCCAATCTAAATCCCTTTTCAAATATCTGATAGGAAATTAAACCTGTTGGTTCTAAGACAAACTTCAGTAATGAAATAAAAACTCTAATTGAGCAGATGTTAAACAAAACATTTTCTGTGCAAACCACATGAAACTGTTCATTACCCAGCAGGGCATTGTTAATACAATTGTCTCTCCAGAAAAGTGGTTTACACAAGCTCTGGACTGAATTTACTATTAAACTATATTAAAGAATAACATGTTTTTGTGTCTGGGCCTCCTCCTAGGGAAAATACCATAGAAACTGAAAACTTAAGGATACCTGAACCAGTTCAGAGAAACATGAAAACAATTCCCAACAACATTCGACCTTTGATTCCAAAAAAACCAAATGAATCATTCTCTCTCTAGGTGAGTTTACAATGACCAGGAAATATCAGAACACAATAATATGAAGAGTCCATGGGTAGCTTTGGGGATTTAAAAACAAATAGTTTTGCACAATTCTAAAAGTTTAAAAGACGAAAGTAAAATGAAAGCGAAATTCCCAATATTTATAGGTTTATCCAGATCCAAAAGAATTTTCTGAGCCTCAAAACTACTATTTCATCAGATTTATCCCTGGAAAATATATATTCTGGAAGTTTTAAGACATGCTTCCATTTTCTTCAGAATGTGCAAAAGGGTGCCAATCAAGTTCATAGCAATAGCAACAATGACACCAACACGATGACACAGTAAATAGAGCGCTGGGCTTAGAATCAGTAAGATTTAAATTCAAATCCTGTCTCAGACATTTATTAGCTGTGTGACCCTGAGCAAGTGACTTAACCCCTGTCTGCCTAATTTCCTACTCTGTAAAACTGAGGTAAAAACAGCACCTTCCTTACAGGGTTGTTGTGAAGATCAAATCAGATAATACATGTAAAGCATTTAGCCAACCTCAAAGCACTAAAATAAAATTCTAGCTATTATCGTTTGCAATGCTTTATAATTAGTTACAAAGATCCTATAAGAATTCCCCTTCTTCCCTTCCATATATTTCTGTTTCCTTGTATGTGCTCTATTCCCATGGGTCTCAGTTTCCTCATCTATAAAAATGAAAGGCTAGAATGAAATACACTCTAAGGTATGTTCTACCTCTAAATCTATAATGATCCAATTTCCTCAGATGCCTAGGTGGCAAATGGATAAAACGCTGGACCTGGAGTTAGGAAGACCTGAGGTCAAATACTGCCTCAGACCCATACTAGGTGGGAGACCCTGGGCAAGTCACTTAACCTCTCTCTGCCTCAGTTTTCTTGTTTATAAAATGGGGGTAAAAATAGCACCGATTTCCAGAGGTCGTTATAAGGATCAAATGAGGTGATTATAAAGCACAGTGCCTGACGTATGGTAGCACTATATAAATGTTAGCTATTATTATTATCATTATTATTATTATTAGATAACTTATGTAAAGTGCTTTGCAAACCTTACAATGCTATATAGATGCTAGATATTATTATCCCATGACAAGATTATTTCTGACATCCCTTCGAGGTCTCAACCCACAATTCTCAATCCTATGGACTAGACTGCCAAAATATAAGATAATGGAACAGGCTGAGAGGCGAGCGCATGGGTTTTAAAAGTCCAAAAGAACTGGGAACTGTTGCCCAAGGGCCTGAGCAGCTGTGGCTGATCTTCCGCGGAGCCTTTTCAGACTTATCTAGAGCTCTTTGGCTGGCAAATTGGAGCACAAATCTCAGAGTAGTACAAGCTCTCAGGAGACTCTGAGTATCTGACTGCTGCTACAGAAGGTCTGACTACACCCAAGGGTGTCCTCTCTGGGATGTTGTGATTCTTTCTAAATAGGGCTAGAAACAGAATGTGATGATTTAAAAAAAAAAAAAAGGTCCATAGCTAACCATCTGAGATAAAGAGGGAAAAAATAAGCCACTTTTATTTTTGTCTGAGGCATCTCATTATCCTCTTCTTGTGTCATTTTAACAAACTTTTAACAACATCAGAGTGGGCCTGCTTCAGCCAATGGAGGGGCTAAGGATACCCTCAGTTCAGCAGCAAGGTCCAAGCTCCCCAATTCTTCCAGCAGAATGACACATGGTTTGAGTTGTACATATGTTTTTCTTTCATTTGGGGGCAAACTAAATCTACATGAGGGAAAAGAAGCTTGTGGTGGTGTTAGTGCTGCATAAAAGCGTGGAGCGGTGGATGGAGCACCACACGAGTTCAAGTCTCAGATCTTTCATTTACTAGCTGCGTGATGACGGACAAATTTCTTCCCTGTGGAACCCTCAAGCTTCCCATTTGTGAAAGGGGAGTAATAATACTCACGCCCACGAGGTGATTGTGCTGAAAGCACTTTAGTGAGGCATTATGATGCTATAGAAATTTTCACTATTATTGGTGTGCCCCATCATGCCCCACACTTTAAGAAAATTGGATCCACAGAAAATAAAGATTTAGGGATCATGACCTTGGAGGTCATATAGAGCAACCCCAACATTTTACAGACTGGCAAACCAACACCCAGTGAAGTTAAGGGATTTTCCTAAGGTCACACTGTATAAGTGAATGGCAGAGCTAGGAAGAGAAGACTTTGACTCCAGTTCCAATGCTCTTTCCCTGGCACCATATAAAAAATTGACAAGTTAAAAGGGTGATTCTCCCACTTTACAAAACCACTGACCATAGATCAGTCCCAAATAATAATAATAATAACAGATGGTATTTTTGTACCACTTTAAATTTTGCAAAGTGCTTTAAAAATATCATCTCATTTTATCTTCATAAAAACCCTGTAAGGGAGGTGCTCTCATTATCCTGAATTTACAGATGAGGAAACTGATGCAAATAGAAGTTAAATGACTTGCCCAGGGTCATATACAGTTAGTAAGAATATGAGGCTGGATTTAAACTCAGGGCTTCCTGACTACAGGATCAACACTCTTTCCATTGTACCACCTAGTTGCCCCTAGAAAGCTTTGATGATGATGATGATGATGATGATGATGATGATGATGATGATGATGATGATGATGATG